ACATAAAATAAAAAATTTATATCTTTATGTTTGAAGCCTGAAATGTGGCAAAAGGTTGAAAAGTTCAAGGGGGCCGAATACTTTCGCAAGGCACTGTATCTGATGTTGTCCACTTACTCAGGGTGTTCCAAAAGGCTCTGTGCTGGGACCTTTACTTTTAAGTGATTACAGACTGCCTTCTAGTCTATTCTGATGACACTTAGATTTATTTGTATACTAAATCAGATACTGCAGCTGCACTTTCTGCACTTCACAGGTGTCTGTCTGATATGATATGGAAGCAACAGAATGTTCCTAAATTCAGTCTTGTCCCTGTTTAGTTTACGGTCATGAGCTTCAAATATCAGCTTTGTAAAATTGCTGACTTAAATGTGCTGTTGCTGACAGTGGTGGAATCAAACTGATGTAAATTAGGAATTATGGTGTCTTTTGGACCACGTGTTATCATTTGAAGAGCATCTTCTAGCTTTCTTCCACCTGCATAACATTAATCGGGTAAGACCCTTGCTCTGCATATCTGTCACTGCATATTGATATAAGGATGTTTAGTTATAGTCCAGCAGCAATTGGGATTGGGATCTGGTGATTTAGTTTTCTTAATCTACGAAAGATGAAGGAGGCTCCATGCCATGGGAAATATAGTGCTTTCATGTGAAACACTGCCTCTGAGAAACTCATTACCCAAACTTATTAGACATTCTGCAATGTGTATAGACCTTTTAGATTTATAGATCTTTTTAATAAGGCATGCTTCAGCTTTCTCCTTACTTCACAAAGGTAATTTGCTGGATTTTTATAACCCTTTATTGCTTCTGTTTTGTATTATTATGCATGCCGTTGTCCATTGCTTAGAATTTATTAAAAAGCAACCATGATTAAAATTGTATTATTATTGTTGTTGTTCTGAAAGCAATATCGTTTAGAAATGTGTAATATTGTGGGAGTCAGGCAAAGAGAGCAGGTAGAATGCATTGACTTCTCAGCAGATTATTAAACTGTGGCTCTGAGCCCCATTATTGTAATTAGACCTCAAACTATTTGGCTCCCAGGGACTTGCAGTATTCAACCTTTTGATGGCAGATTGTATCTTTTTTTATTCCATTGGTAGTTCTGTGAAAGAAAGCATTAAATTATAAAACAAGGTTATAAAAATGAAAAGAAGGTGCACAGCTGACTTGTTTGCTCTTTGATCAAAGGATGAGAGCTCTAATCCTTTACCATTGGGACCGTAAGACAACACACTTTTCATTTCCTTCTTGGAATGTTCCAGTAGGAGTCTCCTATTCAGTGACAGTCACACTAATTACAGCATAATTAAGCAGTCTCAGCACATAGACCAAAGAGAAATGTATAATGTACAGTCTATGAGAAATGCTGTGCAATGCAAATGCTAGCTTTGTTCTATAACTGCCTTATTGAGGGGAATATTTTTAACTCCAACTTGAAAGAGGTTTTGGAGATTTGCAATTGTTTTTCAATGGGAAATTGTTTAGATGTGGGCTGATGTATTCCATTTTAGGATTTGTAGAAACATTTGGCTTTAGGAATAAAAAAAAATCAATTGCTGAACAACACTGAGTTATACAGCAGAGGTTCCCTACTTTGGGTCTTGGGGAATGCTCATTTCAATTTTCCCAATGTTTCACTGAATTCGCAAATTGTTGAACTGGATTCGTAATTGATTTATAATTTGCAAAATAAGTCGCTATGAATTTGATGCATTCATTTGCATCCAACTGGACCTACGCAGGGCAGCGCGGTGTTGCAGTGGTTATGTCAGTGGTTAGCTTTTGGCAGTTGTCAGTGGTTAGCATTGCTGAGTTCAATTCCTGGAATGCTATCTACAGTACATGGAATGTGTATGTTCTCTCCCACAATCCAAAGATATACTAGTAGGTTAATTGGCTTCTGGTAAAACTGCCATTGTTGTGAGTGTGTGCATATGTATGTCTGTATGTGCCCAACCTGGAAACTAGGTTCTGCCAGGGTCTATCCTGCCGTAATCCTGTTGCTGACCATGACAGGCTCAGGCTCCCCTGCGATTATGCAAAGGATGAACTGGTTATAAAATTAACTAATGGACCTGTGTATAGTCAACACAGTGCTCATTGTGAATTTTTTGTTACATTGTCACTTGCACCTGTGTCTGTTCATTATAATTGCCTATTGATAGCTGTTGTATTTTTGACACTCAGGAATAAGAAACAGGCAAAATAAAACAGGCAAAGCAAAAGTCAAAACAAGCATGCAACACAATTAAAGGCATGAATTAGCACTAGTGATTTAGAATTTGGTTGAAAATGAAAACCAGTAAACATGGCAGTCCAATAAGACCAGGTTTGGGAATTACTTAATATTTTAAAATACAGTATAAATATTATCCTATTATCCCAGTATTTAAAATCTCATAAGAATTAAGTTTTAGTTTGAAATCTATTGCAAATTGATAACTTTAATCAAATTCAAGATAGCTATCCAATAAGATCAGGAATGGGGGTGTCTTTTCAACCCACAGCTGTCCAGTTTACTAGATAATCTAGTCAGATTGTCTTGGGTTACAGCCATAGTTTCTCACAGTTGAGAAAATTAAACGGAAGCTGCTGCATTTGTGCTCGTATGAGGTGGATGGCAAATGTGCAGTACAAGTCATATAACAGCTGCACCATAGATATGCACATTTATGAACACAGCTTTCAATACCATGCTATTGCTCTTATGCAAAATCAGTTTCAATACACTATATACCTCACTGCAAAGCTTAGACTAGGCATAATGCAGGTTTTAGTCAATTTGAATAATTATTTACTTAACTGGACAACAATGTCATTTTAAGCTTACAAGATCTATATCACATACATTCCCCTATAGTGAAAAATGATATAGGAAAGAAAAACAGATAACAAATATTGCTGTCTAATTTATTCCAAGGAGAAGGAGCTTGAGAACTTGGCAGCAATGGATCTGGAGCTGCAGAAAATTGCAGAGAAGCTGCATGAAAACCGAAGAGGCTAAGATGAGAAAGCAGAAGAGAGCTCCTGTCAACCTGTGTACTGCTGAACATGAACTAGTGCTGGTTAAAAATTACTTATTAACCTGCAGTGTTATTGTAATTTCCACTTAAGTGAAGAAATGTTGCTTAATTCAAAGAAGCCTTTATAATCCACTTCAATAGTGATTCAAATACACTGTTGGAGCTATTTGTATTGTGCGGTTTTTATGTTATTTCAAGATAACTGGCATGGGAATTGTTTAGAACAAAATAGATACATTTGACCAAACTGTGTACTATATATATATTATCATTGTTCTGAAATGACATTACTGTTTCTGTTCTTGAGGTATGTTTTTTTTGCATACAATAAAATCCAACTTTCTGGGACCAAATGAATGCTCTATTGTGGCTTTTCTCTTTTCACAGTTAATCTTTGTCTAAATATTTAACTATCACTCATGGAGGGAGTTTTCAAGGCTTGACAGTCATTTATGTGCTGCCATTAAATTAATCAAAAGCAGTTTAAAGTCCCTCTGCCCCTCTGTGCACAACAAAATAAAAACTAATGTCAAAAGCACTGCATTTTTAGATTTTTACTTTTTTTGCTTTTCTTCAAGCTGCATCATCATTCAGCTTGTCAGGGCATACCATTGTGGACAATTTTCTGTTGTAATCAGTTACAAATCATTAGATTTACTAATATTCACAGATGAGATCAAAAGTTAGATATTACATCTTTTAACAGGGATCTACAGCTAAAATGTTGTTCACCGAACAGCATACTTTAATACCTTTTGTTATTATACCCAATGTTATTATAAATTTCCTTATGGGATTAATAAAGTATTATCTATCTAAAACTATTTTTGATCATTACCATTTTTATAACTTCCTATAGCTTACTGTAAAGAGATGTTAGCCATACTTTATTGATACCTTAAGTTTTGCTTGTTGAATATTTCACCTTAGCTGGTCCATGCCTTGAACAGTTTTGCCCCATAATCTTTAATTTAAGAAGTCACACATTCATTCAGTTTAGTTTCTTCTCATTCAATTTACCTAATCATGTAGCATGCATATATGCTTGGGTGTGATGGGGTTAATTGCATTATTGTTAGATCAAAGTAGTGAAACTATTTTTAAAACAGTGTCCAAAAAATATACATAGAATGGAAAATTGGTGTATTGTTGATGTATCACATACATCAAAATATGTAGATCCATCACTGAAAGAACACACTTGACAAAGCTTAAGACAAGTCAAATAACCAGTCTTTAAATTCCATAAATTCCATTATATCACTGGACGCTATAAACACATTACAAATTCAGTATCATACACAGCTACCTTTAGTATTCATCTTTGCCTCACAGAGGTGTGATCTTTGATTCATTTGTCCTGTGCTGTGTTTATGAATTGACACATGGGTGTCCTAAATATGCTCTTTCACTGATGCGATTGTAATGTGTTAAAAGCTTACGGAGGGTGTGCTTGCAATACTGAACAATGAAACACATAAATGTAACAATTCAGGATTGATTCATTACAGAAATAAGAAATATAAATATAGTGAAAGAGAAATAAGTCTGGTTGCTTACAAACTGTATTACACATTTCCAGATTAACAGCCTTGCATATCATATCTTGCATTAAAGTTGGGCATATGTTTTTACTTATTTGAAATTTAATGCTCATAAACAGTTGCAGCTTTACATTATTATTTAAAAAAGCCCTCTATGGGTACACTACCTGTAAGAGCCTGCAGCTTATCAAACCTAAATTTAATCAAAACCCTAGGCAATGGGATCCTTAATTATATTTCTGAATTACATTACAGTTCCCATTTTCTATTACAAGGCACAATGAAAAAGAGCTGAGAAATATCACACAATTCATTTTATTTGCACTACTTTTGAAAAATCGGATGACATTTAAAACACCAAGCCTTCACCACATCCAAGTCTTATACTTATGACAGCTTTTCATAGCCAAGGCAAGTATTGCTTATTGACAATAAAATAATGCTCCATGGATGAGGGGACAGAAGCACATAAGTACTGTATTCTGCCTTTTTATACAACACAGAAGGAAATCATTTTCCACTCAAGTGCAGTGTTAAATGTGGCTATTTTGTAGCTTCTTTCAAGTTAAATTGGCTCAGAAATGGTACCTCAAAGTCATCAAAGTCAAGGTGAGACAAGTTGAAAGGATGGTCATAACCCTTTTCTCACTACCCAATTACTCAACCTGACCTTCTGTCCCAATATTTTTTCTCATTCAAAATAAATGTTTCAACATTAGAAATTTATTTAAATTCACCCTAGAGGGTAGAACAGATGTTATTAAAAGTAAAATATGTAGAAGCTGTACTTCTCTCTGTATTCCTAACAATACATGTACATTTAAATTACTCCCTTTATACATACATTGTTCTTGAAAATATAAACAAAAACACATTTTTCTATAGTACTTTATTGAAATATATACAGATAGGTCTCTTGGCTAACAGCTCATGTTTGCTCTAGTAGAGTTTTTGATTTCTTGCTTGGCACTTACTTTGAAATAAACTTTTAGAAAAAGTTCAGTAATGGTTTTTAGGTAATCATAATTCTAAGCCCACTTTTGAATACAAAAGGCTGAATATAGCTTCACTGCCTCATGACGGAGAGAAGCCACACAAAACAAAGCAAATTTCTAAAAATATTTTTGTTGCATCCTTCAGCACTCCAACACAGTATTTTAAAAGCACCAAAATGATACATGCCTCACTCTCGAAATATTTTTTTTATACGTCTGAAGAAAAGAGCTGGACATCATGCTTCTGCAGTCAAACATTGGCCTCTTCAAGTTTCTGCCGCTTAGGTGCCGGCTCTTCCACTCTCTGAGGTCCCAAAGATTTGGCAGTATCCATGACAACTGTGGTTCCTGACAAAAGATATCCACCTCCTCCACTCATCAACAGCTTGGGGTGAGTTCTGTTCGGCAAAATCTTTAACAAAGAAAAATAGTGTCAATAGATTAATGGAACTATGCTCATACGCTACTGCAAGTGGCAGTGTTCTCCAATCACATTTGTTAGAAAAACGCACTCATTTACAACAGAGATGATAAACACACTTGCTATGGCTGGCCAGATTCGATTAGATAAATCATCCATACCATAAATGATACTAAACACACCAATTACATTGTACTACTCATTGATGTTTTGAGCTGGCCTTTTTCTACAATAAAGCATCTCTCTACTAGTTTATTTTTTAATTAACCTTAGGCATAGGGCAAGGTTAAAGGTAAATTGTGTGACAGTGCTCTGAAAATTCAAAACACTCGATTTACTAAATATTATAAATGACAAAAATGGCAAAAAATTAACTTCCAATTATTACTATCGCTCTTTGGCAAGAGTTTTCTATTGTACAAATGCCGATGTATATTTCTTTGTAAAAATGAATAGAAATCTGACATTTCCCTTCTCTCGAACCACACTATTATTATTTTGTTGATAACATAATTACAAGGCTCTTATTACTATGTCAAAATGTCCTATCAAGATCATAAAAAAAAAAAGACTTAGTACAGTTTCTGTGTAACCACCAGGAGTTTAGTCACTGAGGTTTCCTCCAAATCTTGAAGAAGAGTGTGTATAGGCCTTGTGGGATCAATTTTTTTCCCCACATTGTTTTCATGCAACTACATGTCCCTGTCTAACCTGATAAGTGACATATCAAACAGGAAGACCGCAAATTGACAGAGATACAGAACTTCAGAGTACTGTGTGTGCAAGACCAATACAGTAACATCACCAAGTGCTCTTGCATCATCAGTGTAGGCCATGCAGGCTCAGACAAGACGTGAATTGAATCCTTATCGATGGCTCCATCTGCAACTGTCAAGTGGGCCAAACCTGGCCTGCAGGATAAATTCTTCTCACCCTTAACTTACACTATTCCTCACCAACTCAGAAATAGATAATGAACCAGAAGAACTAAGGCCAACAATCCCTTTGAATCGTGTTTGTTGCTGGCTATGAGGTCAACTGAGGAGTAGCGTTGCAAGATTTGGGCATTGCGTCTCTGTCTTAGAAAAAGACTGGTAAAGCAAGAAGGGAAAGGGAGGGCCTTATGTACTAGGCCCTGGACAATTCGGTGGAAATCCAAAAATTATTCTAAAAGGTGGGAATATTTTAGAGAGTTTATTAGCAAATAAAATAACAAAGCCAAGAAAATACAAATTAATTTAGCACAAATTAATACTGCAAACAGCTCAACATATGGCTTCAAAAGGTGTTGAAACAGACAAGAAATTGAACAACCAATTGCCTATCAAGCCTAGCTCACAACATTATCGAGGATACTACATACACCTTTTTCCTCTTTTTGACGAAAGCAAAATTTGGGAAGCTTACCTGATAATGCCTGAGCCAGGTTTCTGACAACCTGAGACTGATCGCTCCACCTTGCTCCCTGAGCTTTGTGTAGCATTCAATTAAAGGCTAAATCCAAAATTATAAAAGAGAGATTAGTTTTAAGCGCTTAGGAAGCAAAGATAAAATAAAAGAAGAAGAAGAATAGTAAATACCTCTTTATACTGGCAGTATATTACAAAAGGTCGAGATGGAGCCACAAATTTCAATAAAGAAAGGACCACAGGGCACGGATGAAACCTACTGGCTATGATCAACCTGTAGGAAAAGAAGGTAAGAAATGAAAAAATAAACTATTTGACAACAACGCATTGCGACTTTGCCAGTTGGCAAACTGGAGGCAAATGGTATAACTAATTCAGAACCTAAGGACAAGAACATGACTTTGATAACTTTGAACTTCTGACTCCAAGGTTTGCACTGAGGGAAAGAGCAGAAAGGAACCACTCTTTAAGGGAGGGACCCATTGTTAAAACTGTGGTGTCCACTCCCAAGGTACCACATTCAAACAAGCTCATTGCACTCTTTTCTGTACATTTTGTCAACTTCATCATAAGTGTCAAATACTGACTCAAGGGATGTCCAAGCAGAAAAGTGTAACAATTTTTAACAAGAATCTATCATTATGTCAAATGCAAATTAGTGGAGGCTAGTTCAGGTTAGGAGAAATCAGATTGATTTACACTTTTTCCCCCAGCTTATACAGCCAACATACAGACATTGTAGCTGAAGTACAAAAGGGCTCTTCAGAGAATTATCATACAGACTCATACCTCCTTCTGCTTTGAAAACATTAGATGTGTATCCTGGGGCCAGCTGTTCTAGCTCAAACCACACAACTTGGATCAAAAGCATTATTTATTACTGCGACACCCAAGCAAGCGTAGCACCAGCTCAACACTTCCTGAGCGCTTATCAAAAAAGTAACTCCTCAAGTAAGACATGCTGTAAAGTAGTTTTCCTTATTAAAATATGAAGGAATCGCCTGTTTGTACAACATACCACAATATACTCTGTTATGAATATCTTTATTAACACTTTACACTATTTTAGTTATTCTATAGGGGTGGTGAAGTGGTGTGATGCTATGGACTCCTGCATCAAAGCTCTTGGATCCTGGCTTGGATTCCAAAATGGGGTGCCTTCTGTGTAGAGTTTGCATATTCTCCCTGCATTAGTAGAGGTTTTCTCACACCTCTCAAATCTGACTGGCTATTCTAAGCTATTCCTTTCTTGCTTGTCCTTTGATTGCACGGCAAAAAACACGAGCTTTCAGTCCTGCTTCGCTCAAAATGGCTTCTGGGATAGGCTCTGGTCGGTCATGATCCTCACCAGAACTAGCAGCTATCTTGTAATGGATTCTGTTTATATCTTTTATTCCTTTCTCACTGCCTTCAGAGCCAGTTTATCCACCCACTTTCTAGTTATTCAAAATCTTAATCCCGTTTTTTATATTTTACATTTCCTATCAAAGCAGGGTAATTCCATTAATTAAGAATACAATAGTCGTAATTCCCTTAATTAAGAATCCAAAAGTCTGAGCTTCTCCAATTGCCTTCGTGTTGTAATTACATCCTAGCAGCCTCCTTATTGTACCATTACAGTCTTATTCACTTGTTTCTACAGTTCCAATAAATAGATATAATTATTCTCTTTATGATTTACTTATGTGGGCCACCACAATATTTAACGAAGAACAGGTTGTAAAATATACATTAACCATTTCACTCGGTTTATGAAAAAAAAACATTTATTCCTATGTTAGAAATTGTTTCATGTGCAGCATAGCTGAAAAGAAAAAATAATGTTTGTATGCCCAATAAATGAGCAATAAGGGTGTACAGAATCAATTGTATGCAAAAGAGCTGAAATAAAAAACTGTAACTCACCCATCTGCATTTCTTCCTTCTAACAAAGAGGCAGCAGCCAAAAGTCTCTTTCTTTTTTCTTCAAGTTTAATTTTCTTTTCTTGAACCTAAAAAAAATAGTGTTTGTGGAACAAGAGCAAACAACCATTTTTAAACCAATGTCAATTTAACACCTATATTTAAAACATCCTTAAAAGGCTGATTAGCAGATTATCTTCAAATAGAAGACTTGAAACAGAGGAGGTAATACTTGAGGACCGTGTCAAAAACTATATCACAGTCCATTTTCTAGCACTTGGCAGGTTGCTTCTGAGCAGAAGAAATATCTGTCGAACAAAAAGTCCACAAGTGGTTCAATTTGTATTTTGCAGTTTTTATTTGAGGTTTTACACTGTAGCTATCATCAAGCATCATTTAAAAGATTCATCCTTTTAGTATTTTATGACTTTTTCTCTGTGTTAAATTTCAAATGTTATTTGAGGAACAAAGCTTACTCTGAGCTCTCTCTGGTTTTCTCTTTCTGCTTTTGATTTGTCTTCTGGTCCCTCACTGGTAACCACAATAGCTTCTACATCTGGGCTGCTGTGCTCTGCCTCTCTCTCTACTGCTTCGGATACAGTTTTTTGGGGCAACTCTCTCGCCCCTGTACTGCTATCTTCCAAACCACTTTTCTCTTCAGATTCCAGGGAGAGAGCTCCAGCCAGTAGGGCATTCACTTTAGCGAGGGGAAACTCATGAAGTGTTTGATAAAAGTGCGCAGGAAAGCCAAAGCTATCTGTAGCAGCTCTGACTGGCCCTCCCCCAGGATACATTTGTATTACTGACCCATAGCCTGCAAAAACACAAGATTATGGCAAAACAGGAATAACATTTATTAGTCAACTATGATATATGACAAAAAAACAAAACATTTAAAACACCAGCATAATGTTCTTGCAAAAACCCTAGTATCTAATTCAATATCCAAAATCTCAGTACATACACTTAGGAAGAGTCAGTAATATACAGTATTTTAAAGACAGGTGACATCTTTAAAGCTGGAAGACATTGAATATTGAACACATAATTTTTATTAATAACGTGTTTGTTTCTCATAAGACTGACAGACAACTCTAAAAGGAGTTGTACAAAATATATCAATCTGTATTTTATGCACATTTCTGATCAGACAATGTGGACATCATACCTCCCATTCTTTCCATGACTGCTCCCAGAACTAGCCCAGCACAAGTATCAAACACTATCACTTTGCTGCCTGCATGGATGTTCCCTAGAGTTAACATCTGTGCCAGAGTGTCATAACGTAAATGGCTACAAGAAAAGAAAAGCAGAAATTAAAAACTAAGCTTAAAAAAACCAAGTCACCCCGATTATAATTCTGAGGCAAATGGTAAAATAAATGACAAACAATATACCACTATGTAATGTATAAGCTAAAAAACGTACATCATGTAGAAACTGAATTCTCGCAAGTCTTAAAGAACTGACTTGTTATTCTTAAAAAAAGAATTCTAAAAATAGTATTTTTCTTACCAAGAAAAAGACTGTTAAGGAGAACAGTTATAAAAAAATCAAATTAAGGGAAAACTAGAGTGACACATGGCAGTTGTCCTCACTATCCAATGTTTGTTATCCTTTCATAATCATATACTGGATATTCTAATGTGAAACAACTATTTTCCTTTTCAGAACATGCACACATTCAAAACATGATTTTCACTATCTATTCTGTAGATAATTTTAAGCATACTGGTTTGAAAACATTAATTTTTGTTGCAAAGAATATTAGTACTGTGTACTAGAATTAATAACTGAACATTTGAGTATTAATGAATACACAGGTTTATTAATAAGGATAACAGTTTTACAGTTTTTCTTCTTTGAACAAGTTCATAAGTATAACACCTAAAAAACTGCTTTCGTTATTAACTATTATTTTGGTAGACATCAACTTACCATATTTTTCCAGGTTCTCTACCATGATACATCAATGCTAGAATACGAGTAGAAGGCTTCAGAACAGTTATATCACTTTCATACCTGTAAAATAACAATGCTCCTTCATCTATTTTCATTTAACAAATCAAAACAGGCCTTCACCTGGCTGCATACTGTTACTTGTCAAGAGTACGTCTGATGGCGAGATTTAAGTAAGTAAAAAATAATAAAGGAGCAAAATATACAAATGTGCTATTATTGACTTCTCAATGTCAATTTGATTTTTAAACTTCACTGACAAAAACAATTCTAGGCAAGCAATGATCCAAGTGAAATAAAAGCTGTTAACTTTTAATCCAATATATTTTAGGATTAGACATTTATTCCATCATTTCTAGTAAATTTAGAGAAAGATATGAAAATATTCATAATGGTAATCTTATTCAGTCTTACGTTATATAACTAAGGCTGAAATAACGTCAGATAGTAAAACTCAGGGGCAAATAGTGTGCAAAATTCTGCATTCCTCATATGGATAAAATACATAATTACAGTATTTTCCAGCATACAGAAAATATTTCTATACAATCACTTAAAACTGTACCTTCATAATATATAACCTTTGTGTTTTAAAAAAACCTACTTTTTCTTTTTTTTCTTGATGTATTTCTCCTGTGCAAATTCAGTTTTATCTCTGAAAGTTGTGCTGTTTTCTATAAGCTGCTGCACAATCTCCTGAAGGTTCAACAAAAACAAACAACATTACACAATGTATGTTGCTTATGTGCCAGTCAGATGTGAAAAAACAAAATCAGATAATTTAAGCTCCAAATGTTCCTGCTCCCACTATCCTGATATAGGCAAATATCACACAAGCAAATACTCCTTCACAAGCCTGGAAGATGTACAGTCTGGATCCCTAGTTTGTCATTTTTATGAACACAACATATTTTTCAGGACAGAAGGCTTCACTACACATGATTAACAAAATATAATACTCTTTTACATCACACTAAAGAAAATTCAATATCAAACACAACATAACATAATTAAGGATTCAATCACGCAATAGACAACACTAAGTGATGTACCTTTCCCTTTAAGCCTTGCTCTTTTAAAGTTTCAATATCATCTCTGGTAAGTTTCTGGGATCTTCCATCATCCACTATATTTCTGTTGTCCATCCCTGCTTCCTTGGTCTCTGTAAATAAAATCACAAATTAAGGGTGGATCACAAGATACATCAAAACTCTGTTCAATATGGTTAGGATTTCACCCTTTTCTTTTCCAAAGTATGATTGTATTCTAAGCTTTGATCACTGAAGTGTTCCTTATTACACATGCATGCATATTCCTTTGTGTTCACCAGGTTCCTAAACAAAATAATTCTGCAGGAGTTTAGCATCTATGTCAGTGGTGAGTCATAACCTGAATTTATTTGATCCTTAAATTACACTGATAAAAATCTGGATTTTAAAAATATCGAGTACAGCATGTTACTTATTTGTCAAGGACTAAGAATGGAAGCAATCTCCTTATATGACTGGAATATCCAATATACATAAATGACATACTTAATGCCAACTAACATAAATTACATGGGTATCTTGACTCATCCAGTGAGCTCTAAACATTATTTTACTTGGCAAACTGGATAGAACTGTCTGTATCATATACAATACCAATACCATATATGATACCACTGTACTATATACAATGTGGAACATTAGTTTAGACAGATAAGACTATTGATCCCAAAGGGAAACGGAGTTTCAGCATAAGGGAGGTAACAAAAGTCCCTCAATGCACACTATTAAAGAAAAGTTTGGGGGCACATACATACAAAGCTTCTACATATCATAACATATGTTGTAATACCTTGAGGGTTTTCTTCATGTTTCACTTTTCTTGGCTGAAGCGTTCCACCAGAAGCAACTTCAAAATTAGTTCCATACAATTCACCAATAGCGTTATCAAGGAAGAACCACTGCTTTTCAAAAATTATTTTTCTATATCAAGAAAGTCAACATAAAGTTAAGCAAAGGCATAAAATAAACAACAGACAGACATATTATGACAAAACATCAAATGAGGCATTGATTCAATACCATACCTAAGGTTTATTTCTACGTGTGTTCTAAATTTTGTTTGCAATCCAGACTGAGAAAAGGCGAGCATAGCAAAATAATGCTGAGGAAAATATATAAACGTTTATTTTTAACATTAGGGTTAGGAGGCGAAATGATGCAATAAGGCAACGCTTCCTAAATATCGACGTCGACACACAATAGTTCAATCATTACATAAGGTATGAGCGTAACACATTCCTAAAACAGGGACGCTCTGATATTTGAAACCGTTTCTAAAATACTGGATATCAAATATGAATTGCGGTAATAGAAAAACATATTTATAACTTCGCATGATAGTAAAATAGAAAGGTAATAAGCAAGAATGTAGATAAAACCACATTGTATTACGAGTTACACAAGGGATAAGTATTTGAATTGGATCAAACAGACGATTGTTACCTCTTTTTTTGTACTTGTACCGCTTTAAAAACATCTTCTCGTTTCAGCACAACGTGATCGCCTTCTTTAATTGTCCACTGAGCATTAACAGCTTCCCCATTTTCCTCCATCGCCAAGAAACTCCACAATTCAGCGATGTAATGATGCTAGATATTTTTTTGGAAGCTTGGGACTCCCTCTTGCTTGCCTTGCTAAGACACTTACCCACGTGTGTGAGTACTTCCTCTCGAATTAAGGAAAAGTAAACAGCCACAGATAAGCAACACATACAGGCATATTAACAGATCGCAGACTCAAAATATAACGAATAGAATATACCTACTTATTATTATATAATCACTCATTATTGCTGTTGATAAGACCGATATGTTTCCTATAAAATTACTGCAAACTGTTTTTTTTTTCATTATTGAGCTCTGAAATTAGTAGGAAACGGTAGTGACGCATTTACCGCGCCAAACCTGAAAATGTCAACAGAAGCTGCACGTTTGATCAGTTTATCAATACTATTCACTTATGTCTAAATTTGATTTTCATAGAAGCTTTGAAAGTTATAACAGCCGGCTGACAGTTTGTAAAGTGTAAGTTCCCTTTTTCAAAATCATGAATCGCGCTTGCTCAGTTTGTTGTTTGTAATGTTTTATTTACTGTTCTTGTTTTGAAATTGTTCTTGCATGACTGGCTTCACCTTGAATTCTTAAATAACTGCATTGCTACTATTATTATTATTATTATTATTATTATTATTATTATTATTATTATTATTATTATTATTATTAGTAGTAGTAGTAGTAGTAGTTTTAGTACACAAAGTCATACCTATTGTGGTGTTAACAAAATATTTTAATATTTGCTACGTGTAGACCCACTGCTTTTCTGGGGCATTTGGTTATTTCTCTGTGACATTTGAGAATTGTTAAATTTAGCAAAGGCGTAATGTTAATTTAAAAGTTAATATAATTCGTCTGTTTTGGGGCAATGATAATGATAATCCATTCCCGTCTTTTTTATCCCAGTGAATACGAAGTAACAGTGACCCTGTTCCCTTGGATCCTAACTCAAGTTGCTGACTTGAGAATTTTTAAAGTTTTCAAAGAGGTTTTAAAGTTTTTGTTAATTCCTAAAGATAGGTGATAGGCTTCTTATTATTTGAAGAAATTTTTAAGTTATAAGAAATTCACAAACTGGATACAAACATATATTGTTTTAATGAATACAACAAATGAAAAGGCTGTGCAGTACAGTGAGATAGGCTTATTAATCTTTTTTGAATATAATACATCAAATTATTACCACACAACAATAGTAACCTGATTTACAGTTCCAAAACATTCAAAATGATTTACTGATGCAATAAGTACTTTTACTTTCTAAGTGTCAATGAATTACCTCAGTAGGTCTGGTTAAAAGTATTAAACAGTGAAGCCAGAGCAATTGAATAGCAATTAAGTCTATTGATGGGTTTAAAGCCTTGGATCATTACATCCCTCATTTTAGAAAGGAGGCTGTTTTTCTGAAAATTGTTTTAATTCCTTGCCCATTCTCTGGTTTTGAATTGTATGCCTAGAATTAGTGGTTTTAATGCCACTTATGCCAAGACCACATTTTTGACAAATATTGACAGTCAATCTAGAAATCTTTGAAATATTGACATTGAAAGGTTTTGTTGTTTGAAATCCATAAATGCCATAGTCCCAAAAAATTACTTTAAATGTAATTAACAATAGAGAATGTTCCACATGAGGAAGATAAGAAGAGATGCATTTAGGACAGTAATTAGTAAATTGTTCTGTATAAGAATAGATTAACGATGATCTAGAATAAACTCACAAGTTGAGACTCTGAGATCTTTTAATAAAGGGCTGGATGGGATTTTGAGACAACTAGACTAACAATCAAATGAGCAGTACCTAGTGAACACTCCCCTCTCTCTCCTAAGCCTTGTTTTCTTCTGTCCTTCCATTTTCAGAATCTGAATGCAAGATTTTTAGAATGAGTGGAGACTGGAGAGGCAGGGGAACCTGGAGGGGAGGGGGGCAGAGAGGCTACAGAGGAGGGGCAGGAAGCAGTTGGCGGGGTGCTGGAGCCTGGAGTTACGGGAGAGGAGGAGGAGGACAAAGTGGGAGCTGGAGGGGAAGGCCTTGGCGAGAAGGTGGCATCGGTCCGAGAGCCAACAGAGACGCAGGTACTCTTGCTGTCATGTTGTTCTATATTCACCTGGTGGTAAGGGACGTAAAGAGAAGTGTGAAACAGAAAAATCTCCACTTTTCCTTCTTGATCTCCATTGTAATATTGTGTTTTATATTCTTAGTTTATACATTTATAGTATTATTTATTCAGTGCCTTTAAGTACAGCTTTGGAAAGGAGCTTTTAGTGGGACTGTTCTCTCTTTGTTTTAGAGCCAGGTGGTGTACAGAATACACAGTCTCGAATGACACAGAGCACACTGGACCCGGCTTGCCGCTATAAAGGATGGAAACTTTATTTTTCCGAAGGTAAAAAGTAACAGAGTGGTTTAATATTCTTGGTGTCATAAAACCAATGGCCATTGAACTGAAAAGTCAATTTTGGGTGGCCTTTTGTATACAGAGTCTACAAGAGTTTTAAAGTGGTTTCAGAAGAAAAATCAACCAATTTGTCACTGGAAGAAGTTATAATTAAATAAGCATCCTCAAAATATTGTACAACAATATAGTTATTATCGGGGGTTTAAATTCTTTACACAGTTTTAAATGTTGTAATTTTATATAAACTTTGCATGATTTTTGAATGTTTTTTAGGTTACAGTGAGAGCTCACCATACGTACAGAAGATTCAGGCCTTTGAACGGTATTGCATTGCCAGAATTGAACTTTATGACAAGGTGAAGAGTTTTCTTTTTTGGTTGTGACTGTTTTCTAGATCTTTGTGCAACAGATATTGGCTTTCAAGTAGGCAAACAATGAAAAAAAATATATATATAACAAAACAATGTTTTTTTTTTTAAATTAAAATCACAATTTATTTTTGAAATCCCAAGATTGGAACAGAGTATTTTCCACACATCTGCTTGTAACTATGAATGGTAGGAAGGAATGAGGAACCATAAGCAGATCCCTCCTATACATATCTTCAAACCAATTGCCTTTTAACATCTCAATGGCTATGAAGCCCCTTACTAGAGGTGCAGTGCCGATCGGAGATCTCTCTGTGATGTAGTGAGAAGTAGCTCCTTGAGAAAGCCACCATTTTGGCTTAAAACCCAGGACCAAAGTTGTGTCCTTGAGCCGTCCGTTAATGAGAAAAACTGCAGAATTATATATGGCTGGGATTTCACACGAGGGAAAGGAACTATCGGATAGGCTTCGTATGAAATTAGCCACTCTTCTGGTTTATAAGGTGGGATGGGAGGAAAGGGATTCGGTCTCTGTCTAGGCTTCAGCAAAGTTGGAGAGAGAGTGATAGCTTCAGTGGGGAGTTTTTGCTAATGATGGGTGTGACTGGGTTACAGGACTGTGGAACATCAGTGGGCTACAAGGTAGCTTGAGGAATGCATAAATTAGTTTATACTGAGGGCCATCAAACATTTGGAACAGACTTCTGTGTGATAGCTCATTCACATGGCCCAGTTGGAATGAAGTACATTATTGAAGAGCAGGGTTAGCCTGCTGGGCCTGAGCCAACTGGAATCGTTTGCACTTGGAGGAGTGGGGCATCTCCTGGCAAGGTAATAGCATATCTTTTGTACGCAGAAAAGAGAGAGTGGCCTAGATCTCACAGATTGAATCTCGGCTACTGCTTGTGCCTTAAGAACAATCGTGGAGTCTCTAAGATAGAAAGGAAATAGCAAACTGGCTGCTGTTGTGTTGTTATCGCAGGTTTTGTTTTTGCAAGTGCTTGCTCTTGAGAGGTAAGAGTGCTTCAGTGCCAAGTGTGACAAGTATGAAGAGAACTGTGTGGGAGAGAAGAGATTATAGGAAGACCTGCACTTTCCCCAAAAGCTATGCGGTGCGAGAGAGCTGGATCCTGGAGGGGGCACAATAGTATGGTGGTGGGAGACCGGCCACTTAAAATGCTAAAAGATAAAGTGAGATTCTGGCAGTGTGTAGTACAGATGGGGAATGCGGAGGAGGAAGGACAGGCAATATCACAGTGTCACTCTCACTGATAGCACCACATGCTTGCAAGCATCTGTCTTGCAAAAAGCCAAGAGAACCCTGGCCAGCTAATCCTGCCCTAGTCTCAGCTGCTTAGGAAATCCCACTCGCAGTTAACTATTGACAAGACATGGGTCTGTAACCCATAATTGATGAGCTCTGCCTGCTCTTGTTTAAGTATATGCTACTATTGATTGAGCCATTAAGGAGACCCCCAAAAGGGGGAAATATTTGTAGTGATTAAATTGAATCCTCACTGGCTTATAAATATACTGTGGTTATCAAATATAGAATCTTTTCAACATCCTTTGCTAGACCAATTTAATGCATCACTTTGTTATGTGTCTTGATTCGGGATTATGGAATGTCTCACTTTTTGTTGGAAAACTTTTTTTTTTCCTTTTGTTTTTTAACAGGATGAAATTGAAAGGAAAGGCAGCATTCTGGTGGATTTCAAAGATCTTGTGCAGGACAAAAATATCACAGAAGCAATCCCCAATTTAGCAGCAGAGCTCAGAGATATGCCAGAGAAAACATTGGACTGCCTGGGTTTGGCAGTGCATCAGGTATGCATTCCTACACATTTCAAGGAGATGCCCCACTCACTGTTAAAATACTAATCTTATCTGTGTTTTAGTCTTAACATTTATGAAATGTGACATATTAAAATACGATGGGTCATGTTAACAAAGGATCTGTCTGTGAAACATTAAAGGTTATTTCTAAACCTGTTACTTCAAACTTAAAATGTAATATCTAATTGTGTTTTTTAAGTGGTAATTGTAAAAGACCAAGGTCTGCATTAAATGAAAACATCCAGCTACCACATAAACTTAGATTATAAATCTGATAATTAATGGCAGATTTGTTTAACAGCTTCTGGAAACTATGGAGATTGATTTTAAAAGTGGTATTCATCTGTATATAGTATCTAAATGAAACTGTCCTGCAATGTTAAATAAAAATGTAGTTCAGTTCAGTTATTTGTCAATGAAATGTGCAATGAAATGCTTTAATATAAGCAGCTAAATAGGAATTACTAAGGGTCATTCATCTGGATATATTGACATATTTTCTCAGATTGACTTAATGTTTTCTCACTATTTTCCAGGTGTTAACAAAGGATCTGGAGCGACATGCCACAGAATTGCAGGAACAAGAAGGGCTTCCCAGTGGTGTACCACCTATTGTCAATATGCCATATATCCATGCCAGGTAATAAAAAATACTGTACAAGTTTTCTGTTTTTAGTATTTGGCAGCTGTAGTCATTATAATATGCTATAATATTAATTGTGTGTTGCTTTTGAATGTTCTTTGGTATAAGGTTCCTTCAATGTAGCACTCTTGAGTTTACCACTGATTTTCTTATTCCAAGTGCTAAATATGCAATATGTAACAGGTATTTCTTCAGTACACATTTTATGTGCTTTTAAGAACTGTTCCTTGGTGATATTGAACATGGATATTACAATAAGGACTACAATAAACAGAAGTACTAAAGTCTTAGAAACAACTCATTTGTTTTCCTTCTTTCTTCAGTGAAAGGATGAAATTGGCCCTGTCAAAAGGGACTTTTAAAAATTCTGTCATCCATTCTTATTTTTAGAAATGAAATCTTTTTTTTTAACATGTACAAGCTGAAATCGTTTAAACCTGAAATTTTTACTTTTATATTTTATTTATTGTATACATATAAATATCCATTAAAACGGATACTAGGATAAGGAGGAAAAAACAACCTCCCTTTGTGCATTAATGTGCTTATTGTTTTAGGATTTACAACTACGAGCCACTAACACCTCTGAAGAACCTCCGCGCTAACCTGTATGGCAAATATGTAGCTCTTCGGGGAACTGTAGTGAGAGTCAGTAATATCAAGCCACTCTGCACAAAGATGGCTTTCACCTGCAACACATGTGGATACATCCAGAGCCTTGAACTCCCTGATGGCAAGTTCACTGTACCTACCAAGGTAGTGGTTTCATCAAAACTAAAATGGTTTAGGTTTTCTATCAAAGTCTTATTTCTCCATGAAATGGCTTATAATTTATAATTTAATCTTCTCTTTCTTCACGTTCCTTCAGACATCATTTCATTGAAATGGTTTGTGAGAATACTTCTTCAGGAATTGTTCGGCTGTATGAAAGACAATTGAACATATTGCTGTAGCAAGGCCCAGGACAGCTAAAAACAGGGTGTGATGACCTATATGGTGTAATAAATTATTTTATTTACCGAAAACCATGTTTGAGAGGTAGTGGGCAAGCTTTCTTCTGAAGTTATCTGTCACCATCTCTTGGTCCTCTAAAGAATAATGTATATTGCTCAACAAACCTAGTAGTGCTAGGCCTCCACTGACAGCAATATTTGCCATATATTGTAGAAAAAGTTACAATTGTAATATTAATAGTAATGGTAATATTAGTAATACAAAATATTACTAAAGCATTCATGCTGTGTTAATACATGAATTACTGGACATTGAGTATTTTTATTTTCATATACAATTATATGCTATCAAAATATTTACAGTTAATGTCATCTAAAAATGACACATGTAAAAAAAGGAAGTTTGGTTTCCGACAATATCATAAACTGCTCTTGTACTTCAAAGTAATGTGAAGTTCAAAATAAGATGCAAGGTGGGGGGAAATTATGTGATTTTATCATTTAATTATTTTTAGAAAATTTATTCTAATTTTCTCTTGAGGCTCCAAGAATGATAAGCCCACAAATCTTTTTATTTTGGTCTTGTTCTTTCAGCTTTGTTTTAAAATGTCTGTTCTTTTATACTCAGTGTCCGGGGCCAGATTGTCGCAGTCGATCATTCACGCCAAACAGAAGTTCACCTTTAACACTAACAGTGGACTGGCAGACTATTAAGTAAGCCTATTATTTTTTGTGGTTTGGCACAAAGAAAATGTAAATAGAAGTAAACATCAAAGTGTGAAGCACAAATGCTTTGTTTGCTGTCGTGCTTTGAATTAGCAAATTTGATAATGTAAATGTATTAAAACATTTTTAAGGAAACCTCTTCCATTAATCACAGTATTATGGAAATCATTGTTTAAATGATACTGCAAATGGCAATATAGGGCTTCAGAGGCTAAGAGATAGGAAGTGCCATTAAATAAATGGCAGTTAGTTATTTTTGTAACTTATAGGGAAATTTGTACTATAATTACTGTGCTAATTTAAATTAAAACTCAATAGGTGCAGGATGGCAGACAACATTCATTTAAAGAACTTAGAAAGTTTACATTTGGCCCATTTGGTAGTTAGTAGCTACAGTAATTGGTTGGGCATTGATTAATTGATTGTAACTGTGCAGAGAAATCAGTATATTTGTGCCACATTCTTTTCTTAGAAACTCAGTGGCTTTCAGAACACGAAAGGTGTTTTCAAACAATACAACTTCAACATTTGTAAAAGAACCTGGAAATTATATTAAGTTCAATGCAGGTTTTGTTTTACTTTCTTAAAATACTTTAGTTGTGCTTTGTTGAAATTAAAATTTGAGTTTATTGAAACAAAATACATCTACAAGTATTAAACATTTACAACACAGTGGTTAACATTGCTGCCTCACAGGTCTGGGGCCCAAGGTTCAATTCTAGACCTGAGGCACTATCTGAGTTTGTATGTTCTCTCTGTGTTCATGTGGGTCTGCACCCACATGTGGCTCTGATGTTCTACCACATTTCTAAGACATACTGGTAGGCTAACTGGCTTTTCGGAAAATTGGCCCAGGTATGAGTGTACGTGTGTCTGTGTCTGTGTGTGCCCTATTATGGATCGGTGTCCCATCCAGGTTGTATGCTGCCTTTTTGTGCATTGCTTGACAGGATAGGCTATCCGGCTATCTGGCTATCCTTTGAACCTGAGTTGCATGAAATGGTTAGAAAATGGATGGATAGTAACAAGTATCACATTTTATGAGGGTTTTTTGTCTAAATGCAAAACGTTACATCTGGTGCATCACAGTCAACACAGTGCATCACTTAGTCTATATAGCCATTTCTGCTATAACGAGATAGTTATGTTCCTAGGAAACACTGCATTATGGAACAAAATGTACCAAAAATTTTACCTATTCTGATAAATGAAATGTGTAATTTCCGATTAACCCAGCTATACTACAAATTAAAAATATAGTCAGTAAAAGGCTTGTTCATGTCAACAATAAACTAACAATATTTTTCAAAAATAACAATAACAAAATTTTGTTTTTCTCTCAGCTTTGACAAGATCCCCTGAAAAAGAGGTTTTGTTTTTTATGTATTGCCTAAGTGATTCTGAAACATCCATGTTCTCTTCAGGGTTCAAGAGTTAATGTCAGATGACCAGAGAGAAGCTGGACGAATACCTCGGACCATTGAATGCGAACTTTCTCAGGGCCTTGTGGACAGCTGTGTCCCAGGGGACACCGTGACCATCACAGGGATTGTCAAGGTGTCTAGCGAGGAAGGTTAGTTCTAGTTTCAGGTGGCTGTTTTTCATTAAATGCTACTACACATTTCTAATTGGTATTTCACTGTAAGAGTTCAGGGTTTGTTCAGCATAATTTGCTTGACGTTTGTGTCAAAGATGAGGTGCCAATCATTCTTCCTCAATGTGGAATGGCTGATATACATTCCATTGCAATATTTGAAAGGCTTTAAAAAAGGCACAGACATTGAATCTTTTACAAAGTCATCAAGGGATTTTTCTTTTGAGAACACTGATATTGTCATCATTGAAATAATCGGGAAGAAGCAGCAGAAACCTGACTGTATCATTTAGGGCAAAAATATTTCCCTAGGGGACATCTGGGAAGGATTCAGAGACCTTCTTTAATATCCTGGAGTTCCCTAGATATTAAATTTAAAACTGCTAAAATATTATTTAGAATTCTTGTATTCTCATATATATGTGTAGAATATAATAAACTGTATATAATGGTTTATATGAAAGCCATATTTATGGATGTTTGCTCATCTCGTATGTCGAGAGTCCCATAACATGGCCAAACTGATAAGTAATTTTCATCTCGTATAAAACAGATAAATAAAAAACACAATTCTAAAAGGATTCCAAGCCTCAGAAGATCTCAGATCCCATCCGTGTGCATACTGTCATTGTATGCAATTTATAAATGAAAATATATATTTAAATCTAGTTCTTGTTTTATTACTCAAGCTACTCATGTTTTTTTTCCATACATTTCTTTCGTCTCCATGCAAGATGAATCTGCTTCCCGATGGGTAAAATGATTTCATAGAAGACATTAAGAAGGAAACAGTAAAAGCAATGCAATCAATTCAGTAATTATATTACATGATGGTTTTCAAGCATAACGCATGTATAGGGATAGTGCTAATTTTTCAAAACAGACTTGTTGTAATGATACCATGGGAAAATCTGCCTTAGCTGATATGCATTTGTTGTTTTCAAATGAGCATGAATGTATTACTAGTAATTGGTCATGGGCAATCTATCATCAGAGTAGGTTCAGCGCATGAGAAATGTTATTAAAGCTTGCTAATAATGCTGTTTAGATGTGGACAATTTACTTTGGCTCTTCACAATGTAAACATTTACCATCTTGAGTTGATTTGACTACTAATCAGTATGTATCATTTGTTGTGTTCTTTCTATGCCCACAGGAGTTGCAAAGCATAAAAAAGATAAATGCATGTTTCTGTTGTACATTGATGCTAACTCCATCAGCAACTCCAAAGGGCAGAAAGAAAAAGATATGATGGAGTCTGAGAGCCAGGGAGCATTAATAGAATTCTCTTTCAATGACCTTCAGACCATTCAGAAGATTCAAGCTGAAGAAAAGCTTTTAAAAGTCATGGTCAAGTAAGGATATTGTTTTTCTAATATGTACTTATTTGTTTACTAACAAGTGATTCAGCAGAATTACAATACTTTATAATAATACAGTAGTAATGTTCTGAAAAGTTAGAAAGAGACTTTAACCTTTAAATTGGTTATTTCAGTTTTTTATGGTAAACACTGTCCTAACACCCACAGTAAGAAAGAAGTACATTGTGAATTACTGTGTTAAACTTAATAACCCAAGAGTTTTCCTTATATAAGAATAATCATAATCAAGAATAATTCCCTGATGATGCTATTTTCTTTTTTAGCTCATTGTGTCCAGCCATTTACGGCCATGTGGTGAGTTGATTTTGTAAATATGTTCAAAAATATTTTTAATAATCCAGTATTATTTATAATATTACATGTATATAATATCATTGAATATCATTGAGTATATAATATTGCCCATAGATACATTATTTTGTATCTAGGATTTTTTTTAAATTTAATTGAAGAAACAAACAATATGTATTTGTCACATTTATTACATATCGACTGAGAATGAAATAGTACAGTACATTATGCAAATACATGATACAGAAATGCTAGATGTATTACTGTAATTACCTGGTTAACTCCTTATGGTTTTCTGCAAAAAATATTAAATGCATTATCTGTGGAATAAAATATTATTTTGAATAACTTTATAAATTCTTTTGAGTACTTCAGATAACCCACATATATTGTTTTTGTTTGTTTTCAGCTGGTGAAAGCAGGGTTGATACTGGCCTTATTTGGGGGCTGTCAAAAGTATGTGGATGATAAGAATCGGATATCAATAAGAGGAAACCCTCATGTTCTTGTTGTAGGAGACCCTGGTCTGGGTAAAAGTCAAATGTTACAGGTACGCAAAAAGCTCGGAAATTTTACCTAAAAGAACAATGCATTTATTCCAGTCTTGTTTAGATTTCCAGTGCAGAATAAATGCTTAATCTAATCTGTTTTATAAATGTCTAAATTGTAATGTATGCTCTGCAACTGTAATATTATAGTGGAGTGTTACTTATAACTAGTGGGTTAATTGGCTTCTAAGAAAATTGACCCTCTGAGTATGTGCATATTTGTGTCTGTGTCCCCACCCTGCACCTTTTGCTTGGCAAGACTGGCTAGGGCCCCCTTGCAACCCTACATTAGATGAAGTGGTAAGAAAATGGGTGGATGGGTTGCTTGTACCTACAGTAATTAAACTGAGAATCTCATCCAGCCATTTCTTGAAGGTTCCCCCAGGATATCTGCTTCAATAACATTGTTGGGCCAGATGTCAAAATAACACTGTATTTTTTGGGATAAAAACAGTTCTGATTTAACACTGATTGCTTATTATCATTGTGTATTTGCTGTTTAATGCACCTGTCTAAAAAAGCCTTTTGAATGAAAGTAAAAATATGTATCACACATCTTTGGGTATAATTAGCTTACTCACCCTGATCTCTCAGGCTAGATCAAAATCAGTTTTTTCTGTACATGATAAATATTCAGAGATGGTAGATTAAATGGTGATTGCTAGTTTAACCATGCATTCTCACTAATTTGCTTCAGGCTGTTTGCAACGTTGCACCACGTGGTGTTTATGTGTGTGGTAATACTACAACTACCTCAGGCCTCACAGTGACTTTATCCCGAGACAGCGGATCTGGGGATTATGCTCTAGAAGCTGGAGCACTGGTACTTGGAGATCAAGGTGTGTAAATTTAATTAGACTTAATTATCTTTAATCTTTGTTATGATTTCTTAATAGTAAGAGTTTGTGTGGTAGGTTACTCCTCCGTTTAAAAAAATATTGAAAATAAATTTGAGAGATGTAGGGATGGGTGTAATTAATACATACAGCAAGTGCTGCTCTGAGTTCTCACTGTATTATTCTTTGGTTAAATTTCTACTCGATGGATCAAGATGTTCATAGACAGAACTGTTAACTGTTAACAGAACTCTTGCAACAGTTGGTAAAAGCAGGAGTAATACCCATTGACTGAAAACTTTCTGACAGTGCCTCTACATAATAAAATATAAAAAAATAATCAATTATAGACTACATTGTCTATTACTTCCAAGGTTATTGAAACAATTAGGACTTAATAGATCATGTATATGAAAATAAAACTCTAGGATAGAATCAGCATGATTTAGAAAAAGCTCCACTAACTTGTCAGTGTTCTCTGAACAATAAATGATAATAGTGGACACAACATACAACAAACAGTACATTTATAATCTCTGAAGGCTTTTAATACATTTCTTAATAAAAAGTTAATTCTTAAATTGCAGCTCGAAAGCCTTCAATGTAATGTAACTTAATTTATGTGAATGTTTTAAGATTCAGATTCAGGTATAATTAAACACTTATGGAGTTGGTACTAAAATAGACCAGTTAGAAAACACTGTAGAACCTGCAAAGGGAATTCAAGATTTAGAATTCAAGACAAGGCAGATGACAGTTTTAAGCCATAATATAGCTATTAAACAAGATTAATGCTTACAATTATCCTTTTGTAATACGGAAAGTTTTTTTGCATTTATTTTTTTTAATTTCCTTAGACAAATGTAGAAAAAAAATATTTTATGTATCAGCATACTCATTTCTACATTGTATTTCTGCTTTATTTAGGTCTTTGTTGTATTGATGAATTTGATAAGATGGGGAACCAGCACCAAGCCCTGCTTGAAGCCATGGAACAGCAGAGCATCAGCCTGGCTAAGGCGGGGATTGTTTGCAGTTTACCAGCACGAACCTCAATTATTGCAGCTGCAAACCCTGTTGGAGGACACTACAACAGAGCCAAAACTGTCTCAGAGAATCTGAAGTATGCACATAACAATCCATTTAAGAAAGGTTTTGTTTAGATATCCACCATTTTTAAACATCCACCATTAAAAAAGAACAGCAAGGTTATTATAAATTCAGTTAAAACTGAACTTTTATAGTTTTGCATCTTCTGTTTTGATTAACGTACCTTATTTCAGGGACATGTAATAAACAAGCACTATCACTTGGATTTAAGTTGTGTCTTGATGTTTCCAATATCAACATCTTATCTTTTCCTTACACTTCGGGAGGAGCAGCACTAAAAACATCTTGCAATAAATGACAGTGACCTTAAACTTACATAAGCACAGTATCATATATTTGTTACAAAATTTTTGTTGTTGTTGGGAATAAGAAAATATACAGAATCGAGAGCTGAAAATAAAATAAATACAATTAACCCCAATGTCAACAATGACAGCTCTGGTAAAAAAAAAAGTAATAATTCAGAGGCAAATTATGACAAACAGATATTTAGTAACAACATAATAACACAACCTTAAAAAATAACAATAAGCAATAAAGCAAAAATAGCTACACTATTTACAAACAAAGGCATCTCAGAGGACTATGTATTTCAGACCCAGAAAACCCAGAATGCTAATGCTGTAACCTGCAATCCAATATAAAACTCCCTTCCTATAACCTGGATGCCCAAAAGTGAATGGGAATCTTATCTCCCTATTTCAAAAGGCATCACCTACTAGAAAAGAATGTTTAAGCAAAAGGAGTCCACAAGAAAGGAAATCAGAAATTCCCATAATAAAGCTCTCTTAAACAAGGTTAGAATTACTTAGACAGTAACCAAGACTGATTAGAACAAGGTTCTCTCACCTGACATAAACTTACTTCCTTTCTTGTCTCTGTCTCTGTTCTTCCTACAGTACCTCTCCTTTGCCTTCTTTTGATGTCTTTCTGTGTGTTTAATGTTTATTCTTTATCATAACTAAGCAGGGTAATTCACCAGAACATTCCCTTTGATCCACTGTTTACCCGTCTGTAAGCTCAGCTGCAATATGCAAACTGAAACTCTTGTCTTGAAATTGTATGACCTCTCAACTGTAACATTATGATTGTGTGATGCTTTCTGTGTTTGCATTCAATTACATTTTGAATGTTTTGCAGAATGGGGAGTGCGCTGCTGTCCAGGTTTGACTTGGTATTCATTCTGTTGGACACCCCAAATGAAGATCATGACCACATGCTGTCTGAACATGTCATGGCTATGCGGTCAGGGAAGAAAGAGGTTCTTAGCAGTGCCACTGTCACAAGGAACAGATCGCAGGATGTAAACACTTCTGCTTTGGATTTGTTCCCTGATAAACCTTTATCAGAGAAGTTAAAGGTGACTTTGTTTATATAATGTATATGAAAGCATTGTACAACAGCATAAGAGTTAAACATTTTAGGGCGCCTTTAATATCACTTACTTTATTTTGCTTCGTCTCTTTGATACATTTTGTTTCAAAAATGTTGGACTCTACATGAGAGTTTATAACAAAAAAAACAACCATATGTTTGTGTTAAGATATTTACTCCTGAATGACTTGCAGGTCCAACCTGGAGAAAGCTTTAAACCCATCCCTCACCAGATGTTGAGAAAATATGTGGGTTATGCTCGACACTATGTCCACCCCACTTTGACTGGAGAAGCAGCTCAGGTACTGCAGGAGTTTTACCTGGAGCTGCGAAAGCAGAAATATGGAACAGATAGCATTCCCATCACCACTAGGCAGCTGGAGTCGCTTATACGGCTGACTGAGGTAAAAGGCATATGACATAAAGCCACTGGTTGAAATGGTGTTTTTTAAAGATGTTGAAACTTTGTTGTCACAATTATTCAGTGTTTACAGCTTATACTTGATGATGGAAAACATATGTAATGGTTTTATGATGTGACTTATCTTTTGGAGTCATTTTCATCTTTGCTATATTTTCCTGAGCAGTTTTATCTTTTTTAACTATTTGCAGGTTACTTGGAAGTAGAGTTTAACCTTTTTATTGTGTATCTGGTAGTAGTGTGTGTAAACAATAAACAAGGTATTATTATCTTTTAAACATTTAGACTTAAAAAAATATGTACTGTGTGAGGTACTTACTGCACACCTTGACATACTGTATAACATTGAATTATTTTAAGGCAAGAGCGAGACTGGAACTTCGAGAGAAGGCAACAAAAACAGATGCAGAAGATGTTGTTGAGATAATGAAACACAGGTGGGTTTTTATGGTCTGCATTTTTTTAGCCTAACTGTTTTTTGGAAGCCACGGACCAGACTTTTGTCATTTCAAACAAATAATAAATAGCCTTCTGGTAAAAAAAATTTCAAGGGCCAATTGGCTCTGTGTCCCAGTTTTAATTTCTGGTTTTGATTTATAAAGCCTTTTTTTAAAAGTCAAATCATACAATTTGTATTCCCTTTATCTCTAAAATGATTATTTATACATATTTAAATGGTGAATTCTACAGCTTACTGGACACCTATTCAGATGAATTTGGTCGCTTGGATTTTGATCGCTCGCAGCTTGGCTCTGGAATGAGCAATAGATCACAAGCAAAGAAATTTGTGACCGGGCTTAACCAGATAGCAGAACGGACCTACAAGACCATGTTTGATGTCCAGCAGCTGCGCCAAATTGCTAAGGAGCTGCATATACAGGTAAAATACTGTACGCGGACATCCATTTGAAATGTGTTTTTTACACATTTATCCTGCAAAACAAGGAGTATTTGTTAAGATGTCTGATCCTTAACAATGTAGGATTGTTACACAACATAATTTTTATTATTATAGGATGCATCAGTCAAGAACACATTTTTACATACAATGATGACCTGGCAAAGAGTCTAATACCCTTGTTACACAGAAGACAAAGTAGTAAAAGAAAAGTACACGATGTGGCAGCATTAACAAGTGCAAGTATCACACAGGAAAGATTAGTGGCCATAAAAATGAAAACACCCTCTGATACGAAGATATATTGTTAAACTGACTCACTGCTGAAAGTTTAAAAAGAAAACTTTTATTTTATTTTTCCTTACACACCCCCTGATTTGGCCATAGAATGGACACAATCTTTTCAGTTTTTCACACAACTTGCAGCTACAAACACCACAAATTCACACAGTTGAGTAGGGGTAGACAGATCCTCCTACCCACCCACTTCCAAGCCTTTTTAATCTTTTAACACATTATAGGCACCATAACATTACCCTGTACCAGAGGTTCAATGCCAATTGGAAAAAAGGCATGTCCCTCACCAACAACACCCACATACCCACAAGTGTCCATAGTGGTCTGTATTGCTTAGAAACCCACATGAACATGGAGAGAACATGCAATTTCAGGTCCAGGTCCAGAATTGAACCCAAGGCCCCAGCACTGCAAAGCAGCAATACTAACTAATGCACCATCATGCCACCACTTTCCCTTATTAAAAAAAAAAGTCATGTAAAAATGCATAGCCAATGTGTTACTGTTGTCTGTCTTTTAAATTAGTTTATGGGTGTGTAAAAATTAAAGATTAAAAAGAAAAGGACATTTATATGAAAATATTGATTTACAAAAAACATTTTCACAGCATTCATTTTATACTTTGTTCTGTAACAAAGCTTTAATTTGTTTTATTCTATAGGCAAATCCAGACTAAAATTTGTTTAGAAATACATGTGCTAAAAATCAAAGTACCTGCTTTGTGTATGTTTCTAGCAGCAATAGATTTTTCTTATAGTCCAATTTGTGCAATATGTATTTTTGTATTTTCTGAAGAATTGCACAGCAGCACCTTTAATGCAGTTCCCATTTTTGTTCCATAGGTGGCAGATTTTGAAGGGTTTATCAGTTCCTTGAATGAACAAGGATACTTGCTGAAAAAAGGACCAAAAATGTATGAACTTCAAACAATTTAAATGGAGTTTCATGTCTAAAATGCAACATATTACATCGCAGATGTAGAACGCCTCAGACAGGACTTGTAATTAATGTTTTCATAATTAAACTCTCAAAATAGTTTTAAAATAAAGTTACTCTAGTGCTTCTAAAGTTTGTCCTTTCTAATGCATTCATTTAGATGAAGCTGTATGATATCTGATTTTCTTTCCATCAAAACTTGGTTTACGTAATCCTTTAAGTGTCACACTATTTTCTGGATTATGTTATGTTTTAAATTGTGTGTATTTATTTCTTTTCGAAGTGTTATATTTGTTGATTGTGGTGTTTACAAATACAGTTCTTAAAGAGCTAACACTGTTTTAATGCTTCTGTTTTGTATATTTATCTTCAGTATTCATAGCAGTGTGGATTATCTTTAAATATGTGAACATTATATGCTGCACAGTAATGGAGCAATTTATTGGAGTGCTTTATAATACAACATAACATTCTTAAAGCGTTGAAGTGCATATTTAATATTAAACGTGTGATTTAAATAATGTATCTAAAAGTTAAGCATTTATTGAACCATGTGTAGTATAAATACGAGTTCTTGCTCCTAAAATGTACATCGCTTCGCTACTCTCAAACCCCTTAAGTGTAATATACAATATGTGGATACATACTGTACGGTCTGATCTCACTGCACTACAGATATACAGCATTTTATTTTCTGGATCAGAATAAAAGTTAAAATACCTGTAAGAAAAGTAAACAAAATATAAGAGCTATCACTTCATAATCCCAGATTTCTGACTGCATTCCTATTATTTTTATGACTATCGAACAATTTTATGACGTTCACAGCAACCTCGCAGCACTGAGCCAGGGGACAACACTAACGCGCAGCGAAGCTTCAAAGCGTACTGCTGGAACGACTGTCGTAAAATTGTCAAAACGGAATGCGGCAAGGTGGCACAGGCTAGACAGAGGGTGGATGGGATTAGTTCTGTTAAACGAAAATGTGAAGATTTTATTATCGGGGCTGTAAATTGTACACATGTGGTTGCAGGGGTTTAGGGATTTTAGCGTTCGTACCATTGCATTTTAATCTATTGCAAAGCTTGGTGTAAGTTGTTTTTGCGATGCTTTCGGCTTATTGTAAAAGTAACTTGATAACATGTGCAAAAGGACATGTACTTAGTCCCTTAGTGGACAGATACAGTGCTGTAGCTCTGTCTTGTGGATTGTGGAGCACGACAAACGTTATGAAAGCATCGCCGGCAACTTCGGAACAGAAAACATTCATAAAGCACACAAAGACAGAAAGGAAATGCTTCCAAAGGTTGAAAGCCCCGCTATCTTCCCGTGGACAGTCGCTAAACTTTGAAGAGTGCTTTACAGACGGGCTGCTTGTTCTCAGGTCAACTTTTAATACGGGACGTTGTGTTGTGCGTAAGGATAGTTCAGCTTCTGCTCTGCCAATTGCTGTGCACCCAACACAACAAAATAGTTTTTCTTTTCAAACTCAGGGAAACACAGCTATTGACGGTAGGCTGAAAGGATGTTGGGAACATAGTATGAAATACTCCCGTTTGACTTTCCTTTCTACAAAACTTGAACCTGTCTTCCGCACAAATGCAACCTTGGGGGGCTCAGGTGTACCTCAATGCGGTAGGGGCTACAGCAGTACTACTTCTGGGAAGCCCCCAGGAGATGGCAATCATAGCCTGTCAAAAGAGAAGCGGAGTGGGAACGAATCGTCTCCTAACGCAGAGGAGAAGACCCTGTCTCGACCCGAAGGATTGTCTAATTTTAAAGAGCTGGTAGGTGCGGCTGGGAGTGTTGGCTGTAAAGGACAGAAGCGTCTGTAGTTTGATGAAGCAGGGAAGTCAGTTGTTATTCAACTTTGTATAAGGGGTAGGTTGCTACTCAAATACTGATCGACGGGTGACGGTCTTCATGTACACTGCTAGAGTCGGCTGTGTGTCAGTTGGCCACTGTAGCAAATTTTTGTCACTTAAGCCAAGGTGATGAAGAAACGTCGGAAGCTTTTTTTCCTGTAAATAACAGAAGCGGCACCACTTGGATCTGCTCCGTATTCGATACATGTTAGAAACTGGCTAACATTATTGTTTTTTTCTTGTGAAATTCTATATTATTGTGTTAATATATACACTGCTTTTATGTTGTTAATCTTTTCATTATGGGGCAAAAAGTAAATGAGCAGATTTTTGTAAAAACCTTTTGCGTTTGCTTCAAAGGAAATCTATTTTAATGTTAAAGCAACACACGTTTTTTATTTGTTTAGTATGAAAACCCATGGACGATTCCAAATTTCCTGTGCATGGCAAGAATTGGATTGTCTCCAGTTCTGGGGTACCTGATTGTGGAGAAGGATTTCAATTTATCTCTCTGCCTTTTTGTTTTGGCTGGAGTGACAGACCTGGTGAGTTAAATATTTGGAGAAGCACATATGTATTTTAGGTTTTACAGTTTTGTACTTATTAATAAGTGGCTCCACCATTTTGCTGCACATTTGAAAATTAATTATACAAATTAGATTAGCTACAAAGTAACTTCCAGTAAAGTGTATGAATAAAGTTGTTTAAAAGCAACAATGTGATTTTGCTCAATTTAAGCCAGACAGAACACCTTACACTCGACAGAACAATCACACTGAGATAAAAGGTTGTTACACGTGCAAAAATACAGTTATTTAGTTTTTCATTTTGGTTTTATTTTTAGTCTTTATTTGAAGTGTTTTTGAAGGACAGACGTAACTTTGCTCAATGTATTTTCTTCAAAGCTGGATGGCTACATTGCACGTAACTGGGCCAGTCAGAAATCTGCTTTGGGCAGTGCTCTTGACCCACTGGCAGATAAAATTCTCATCAGTGTTCTGTATATCAGCTTGACTTATGCGCATCTCATTCCAGGTAAGTAGAACAAGAATGTTGTTTGGTCAGCATCAGAAATATGTCAAAGAATATTAGAATGCTAAGTGTCATGAGTGAAAGTTCAGGTGTTAATAGAAACAAATTATTTCAATATGTGTTTAAGCTGTCTTTTACCATTGATAATTGAAATAGATTAAAAAGGGGGCATCTTTGGGATCTAATAAATTAAAGAGGTGTATAGTAGTTCAAGTAGGTAGCTGCATCAGCATGCTTAGGCTGCAAATGAACAAGTAGAAGTTTATTCCATGCTGAAAAAAGAAGAAAAAAAGAACGTTTCAGCTGTGGAGCCCTCTTCTGATGACACCCGAGGAAGGCTCCACAGCTGAAATGTGTTTCTTTTTTCCTCTTTTCAGAATGGAATAAACTTGTTCCTAAAGAGGTACTGTATATGCTTTGCAGTATGTGGTCAATTAGATGTGCATCATATTCTTTTTCAGCTCCACTGACTGCAATGGTTATTTCAAGAGACATTGCTTTGATTGCAGCTGTTTTTTATGTCCGATACAAAACTGTCCCACCTCCAGTAAGTAACTAAACAAATATAATTATGTACAGCAGCAGCTTAGATTATATATAAATGCTTTGTGAGAATTCTATTACTGTTAAGATATAAAAAATAACATTGAGATGCAATTTGCTTTTAATATCTTGCTGTCAGTGGTAATCACTATTAAGATATCTATAAACATTTTGTCATTTTATTTTTGTTCTAAGTTTATTTTTGTTATATTACAGTTAGAAAAGACCTTGAATGCCTTTTTGTCACTTTTTACCTTGATGCTTTTTTGTACTCATGCAGTGCAAGATATAAATAATTTTATTTCATTTTTCTTAACAGAGAACCATTAGTAAGTACTTCAACCCATGTTACGCTACTGCTCAGTTGAAGCCAACATTTATTAGTAAGGTAAGACTCTTTATTAACTAAGCAGAGCAGTGAACCAATGTACAGGTAGTTCTTAATTCATACGGGGAATTAATTCCTGAAAAATGCCACATTATTTAAAAAAAATGTGAATTAAATCTTAATTCCTCATAGGAATGTATGTACATGGGAGTAGAGCTGCCTTTCAGGACCACTCCCAGCAAGAGATTGAACTGCCAAAAACAGTGGCACACATTTTTACCTGCAAAATATTTATATAATTTTACAAAAATACATACTTTTAAATTAAATGTTTTTTTTTTCGAGTAAAACAATTCAGTTTAATGTAAAATGTGAAATGAAGAGTGTTTTTACTGGTGGGTGATGAATGGTGTGGAAAATCGATCACACGCCTTTTTGTCCTTTTAGTCTACCAGCCTTTTGAATGCCATTCATTTTAATAAGTAACATCAATATATTTCCCTTTTTTAGGGGTAAATGTATTAGAATAACATGATTTGTAATTTTTTTAAGCAATTTATTCATTTGTTTCTTAAACAAATTCTTCAGTTTTTCCTAAGCATGCACCTGGTATGCGCAATGTACATTTTCTCGATTGCTATAAAGATGTGCTGGTTTGCTAGCCACAATTAAGCATATTAAAGTGAGAACTAGTTTATTCTAAATTAAGAAATTGAATATTTTTTGGAGGCATGTTCTATGAGAAATGGAGAATGTAATCTGAGAGCTGGTTTGTCAAAAGTATCATCTAGAGGTCTCATTTAGGAGCGGTGTAAGCTTTATGTTTTTGATTGTTACCATCTTTTGTGATGTTCCTGCAAATCATAAAGCATTAATAGTGAACAATAATAGTGAGGAATGAAGTATAAATTATTTTAGGTAATTTGACATCCATTATAAATAGATTAAACTGCATAAAGTATAGTCTTTATATAAATCTTTAAATAAAGTAGATACTGAAAAGTCTATATTTTAAAATAGATTAAGCTAATTATATAAAGAATCTGTACAATAGATTATTCCACATACATTGGTCTATGTACTTTTCAGATAGCTATCTATTTAAGTTAAGCTCTACTCTCCTATTACCTCACAGTCAATATGGTAAATAGGTTTTTGTTTGTATTTCTCTCACTGACATTTTTTCTTGAAGTATCTCTTGAGTGTTTCATATTGAAATGTAATAAGACGGTGAAGGTTTGTGAGAGTCAGGAATTGTGCCTTGTTTTTATGTTGCTTTGCAGGTGAACACTGCGGTCCAGCTGGCTCTAGTGGCTGCGTCTTTAGCTGCACCTGTCTTTCACTATGTGGACAGCATATTCCTTCAGGCTCTGTGGTAAGTACATGCAGTATAATGCAGGTTTGTCGTACAGGAACCGTGTTTATAAATATTATAGACCTCACTTGTTGTAAAATAAGCAGGATTCAGGGATAAGATATAGTAAGAAATAAGAAATCTGTAACAGAATTTCCAGCTGTATTTATCATTGAGTGACTGTAGCATTTTGTAATAAGAGAATGCTGTGGATTAAGCTGAAGAAGTCAACATTTAAGTATGATTTTAGATTTTCTTTATGTAGAATAGAAAGATTCTGATCAGCATTTGTTTGATATAATTATATCAGATCACCTGGAAAAACTGAGTAACATGGATCCACAGAATCACCATTTATTTATTTTTATTTTTCAGGTATATTACAGGACTCACAACAACAGCATCTGCATACAGCTATTACCACTATGGTAAAAAGACTGTCCAAGTGTTAAACAATACAAAATAATTTTTGGCAGAAACACTGTACTTCAACACTAAAGCAGAATTATGTGATTCATTACAGTTTTTTTTGATGATCAATGCAAATATTATCTAAACTTTGGAAATTGTACTTTTCAAGGAAAACAATTATGGAATTTCTGTGCTGTATCTGTAACTGACGGTTGACTTACACTTTACTGAATCACACCAATCACAAGGGAATTTAAGTTCCGATCAACTGAATTTGATGTGCACTTAAAATGGTAAAATTTTCAAAATGTCACATAAACTTGGGACATGTTTTATATTCAGTTAAGATTCAGCCTCTCTTATGGAAGCCTCATCATGAACACCTAAACATTTTTAAATGTTTATATCATGAGGAATCTGAAAATGTTCTGACATAAATAATTAAAAAAATAGACAATCACAAAACTTGTCTGTCTTTTCTATGTGTTGATGCAGTTACAAGGAGGATAAAGCTTAAAATACTGTTGCACACATTTAAGAATTGCTGTCAGAGGTATATCGGATGCTTTTACACTGCATGTGTTGAAATATTAAACAGGAATATAATACTCCGATTGAATTTTCCAAAACAAAAGACTTCTGAATACCAGTCATTCCACACAAACGCAAGATCTTTACATTGAACTTGGAAAAGTCATGTCCTCTATATAAGAGGCAGCAATGTCAAATATGGTAATAATAATTAAACTTATTTGGTTGTTTTAGAAAATAGTTAAAGATTGTGATACTTCACTTATGCAATATGTTGATAAGTATGTCAGTGATTCATAAGGATCAAAACACAGTGCAGTCAAGAAAAAATGTTATACACTTTGACGGTAATGAAAAAAACATTATTGATGGAAAATATAATCATGGAAAATATCACTGAATGGAACTGAATTTTAATTAACCTTATACAATAATGACTTTGTGTTGTTGTAATGACTTTCAACAATTCTTGGACATTTCCAGTTTTTCTTTCTACCCTTGAGGCAATGTTTTCTATGTCTTGAAAATGGGTGCTGATGTAGCCTGTTTCTCTTCAAAGTCACAGAATGCTGGATTGGAGATGGAGACTAAACTGGCAAGAAATGCTGTTTCAGCAGGCGGAGGTAGCTTTTTGCAAAGTTTACATATGCAGATAGCTTGTACAATCACAACAACCAGTAGAAGTCCAGCCACACTGGCTAAGGCATAAACAAAAGCAATATTGTCCATGTCAGTTGTGAATGTCGTACAGTGCTCATTTGAAACACCTGCTTTGTTCTTTGCTAAAACGCAAATGTTGTATGCCTTGCCTGCCAACAGCTCATAAACGGTCAACTTTCTAAACATGGGGCTGATGCTTTTAATTGTATTAACTTTTCCTTCCTGCTTGATCTTCAGCTGGTACTCATCTACAACAGAGTAAGGTGCACACCACTGAATTTCTGCAGACTTGTGTGTAATCCTGGATACCTCTGCCATTGTCGGAGGATCGGGACGGACTGTTTCTTGTGATAAACCTGGGCATAAACAATTGTGAATTCGGGCAAGTTCTGAGCAAGGCCGTTGGAGGTGCCTACATCGATCATAATTACATTCTTTCCTGCCTAAGTAGGTCTCGGGCTCAGCTTCATGTGAGTAGTCATTATAATCCAGAAAATCTTGTTTAAAAATTGGTATAGTTGCCATTTTCTGAGTCGGCTTTATTTGCGGTGGGCTTTTGATGGTGGTTCTTTTTAAATCTGAGGCCGATGAGGTGATTGTCCTTTCTGTGTGGACTGTTGATGCAGGTATATTCATTAAAATGGGGGATTGATGCGTAGTCCAGGATTTATGTTCTGTAGTATAGTGAGCTGTGGTGGGAGATGTAACTACAGTTGTTTGATGCACACTTGGAATTGAGACATTTGTTGATGCGCTGTACCTGAAAATGTAATTAATCCATGAGATAAACAGATGACAGCATACAAATATACATATATACACATGCAAAGAATTTTACAAAAATAAGAAGTTTTTAGTATACATTGTTTAAATGGTTACATTGTTGATATGGTTAAAAAATTGACCATGGTGTTTCAGACAAATGTTGTTTTTTAACCATTTATAAACATTTTTTCCCTTGAAATAGAGTCTATTATAAAAGACTCTTTCAGAAGGTTCTTGAATGTAGTTGACCCACTTAGACGACAGTGTGGTGAAAGCTGGCACACATACAGTACAGACGAAACCATGAGGAACATAAGGTGTAAACCAAATACATCAACTGATGCAGGATCTTCTGTAAAGTTGTTGTCTATGAAAATTGTCCCATGTGGTTCGATTTGTACAGTGCGTGTTCATGAAATACTACTATTTCTACTAACATTTCTCACAACAAAGTTGAATATAACTACTTATGGTTGTGAGAAAAAGTTTGTGAACCCTTTGGAATTATCTGGATTTCTGCATGAATGGCTTCTAAAATGTGATCTTATCTACATCTAAGTCATAATAATAAATAAAGCCTGTTTTATTTAACAACACACACAACATTTTACATTGTCATGTCTTTATTGAACAAATAGTTTAAACAATCGTGATCATTGATGGAAAAAGTATGTGAAAGTATGCAATTGGAGTCAGGTATTCCAATCAGTGAGTCAGCTGTTCCAATCAATTCAGGTGTGGGTTTGCCATTTAAAAATCCCACAATTTTGGTTACCTGCTCTTCACAACAGAGTTCTGTTGAAGTGCAATATGGCCCAATCAAAAGATTTCAAGGGACCTCAGAAGAAGAATTGTTGAAGCCCATAAGACTAGAACTGGAGCACCATTGCTACTTTCCTTAGGAGTGGCCATATAATCCTCAAACAGGTGACAAAGAACCCTAGAGTGACAGCTAAGTAATTGCAGTAATGTCTGTGTTCATGTGTGTACCATAAGACAAACACTGAACGAGGTTACCACAGAGGAAACCACTGCTCTCCAAAAAAACTTTGCTGCCTGTCTCGAGTTTGCTAAAGACCACTTGGATGTTCCACAACAGTTCTGGGACAATGTTTTGTGGACAGATGAGACAAAAGTTTAACTTTTTGATAAATGTACACAGCGTTGTGTTTGGAAAAAACAAAACACTGTATAGCAACGCCAAAAGCTCATCGCAACTGAAGCACGGTGGAGGGAGTATAATGATGTGGGGCTGCTTTGCTGACTGTGGGGCTGCTTTGCTGACTCAGGGCCTGGATGGCTTGCAATCATTTAGGGACCAATTCCAAGTTGTATCAGGAAATTCTACAGCAGAATGTCAGGGTGTCTGTATACGATCTATAACTCTAAAGAAGTTGAGTTATGCAACATGACGATCGACAACACAGGGGTAAATCAACAACAGAGTGGCTAAAACAGAAGAAATTCCATATTTTAGAATGGCCAAGTCAGAGCCCTGACCTCGAACCATTGATAAGATAAGATCACTTTATTATCCATTTACAGTTTCTTGCATTAGGAATTTGTCTTTTCGCATTCCCCAGCTTGCTCTCCATGAGACACACAGACAGGGAGAGAAGCTTGGGGTCAGAGCGCAGGGTCAGCCATTTATATGGCACCCCTGGAGCAGCTGGGGTAAGGGCCTTAGGATTCCTCTGCCGGCCGCAGGATTTGAACTAGCAACCTTCCAGCCACAGGCACAGATCCTGAGCCACAGTGCTGTGGTGTGATCTGAAGCAGGTCATTCACACAAGCGTCACGAATTGCACTCACGCTTGCAACCGCTCCCGCATTCCCATGAGCTCTTCTCTCCCCAAACGTTCACGCACCAATCTTCTCAGCACTATTTAAACCCTCACTAGTCTTCCTTTCCTTGCTTACGATTGAGGTCTCCTCCCTGAGCTCCGTACTTGTACGTTCCCAACCCATGTTTACTAGTGTTAGATCCTGGGCAATTCGACTCTACGCTTCACTCCGATTATGCCTTCGCCCCCCGATTTGGCATAGGATCCCAATCCTCTGAAGTCCGGTCCACCGTGACAGCAAGACATCCCAAAAATATACATGAACTGAAACAGTTTTATATAAAGGAATGTGCCAAAATACCTGCTAACCGCTGCGCAGGTCTGATCAGCAGCTACAGAAAGTGTTTGGTTGAGGTTATTGCCAGTAAAGGAGGTTCCATTAGTTACTAAATATAACGGTTCGCATACTTTTTCCGTCAATGACCTTGAATGTTTAAACCATTTGTTCAATAAAGTTATGGCAATGTAAAATGTTGTTTGTTAAATAAAACTGTCTTTATTATTATGACTTCGATGAAGATCAGATCACATTTTAGGAGCCATTCATGCAGAAATCCGTATAAATTTTAAGGGTTCACAAACTTATTCTCACAACTGTCAGCTGTTTTTGTTTGTATTTGAATTATTATAGAGCTTACCTTTTCAATGTAGGATTCAGAAGGCAGAGTTTTCTTAGAGCTATACTGTCATTGCCACTTGTAGGCTCAATAATATTATTTGTAACGGATGTGTTCAGTATTGATTGATCACAACTGAAAAATAGTACATTGAACATAAACAATACATTTAAATGTATTACAATCCTTTTTAATTACATATGTACATTAGTAGTTTTGCTAACTTTAATATTTTAATTGTAGCCAATGCACTTAACATGTATCTTATGACATCCTTGAGGCTAAGGTAATCAATCCTAGTGATTCAGTAGTCATGTTCTTAAACCAATAAACAGGCCACATTGTAATATAAATCTGCTTATACACAACACAATGTGCTATTTTGAATGTATACAGTATAACACTGAGTACACATATTTTATGAAACGTCTAATTGAGGTCCTAATTATCTACATTGTGTCTGAGATATTAATTGTTTTGCAAAACAACATGCTTAAATTATCTTTTAACATGGGTCACCTAATCTGGAATTGACCATAATGACATTGATTAGTTTGGCAAGACAGACGACTTAATGAACTTGCATTCTTTTAATGTGCATTTCAGAATTTAAATATTACAAGCTATTTTTTAATAACATGTTATTAAGGCCTTTCTGTTGTATAAAACCTAACCTTTTGTATACTATTGTAGAAACAATAAGCACTTTTAAATTAAAGTTTTTATTTCTGATATGTTATCAGTATCTTACCTGAGGGATAATTCTATTGCTTTGTCGTTTTGGGAATAATCTATTTTCATTGCTAAGGGTGACTCCTCAGAATGTATCATCTTTAATTTGGGCATACAGTCTTTAGGAAAATCTGAAATATTTTTATTTCTTAAATAGAGTTGTTCTACATTCTTGAAAAATGTGCACCACGGATCATCTGCAAATAAAAAAAAAGTTTGTTTTAGGAATTGGAGCCTGATATCAAAGAACAGTGTCCGTCTATTGCACAAATTAAAATGATTTAATTTACAGAAATACACAACTCCTGCTACAACTTTTAGATTATTTTAAATTTCCCAAAAACATGCAAATAAAAGAGCAATTTGACAATAATAGCTATATCTGAAGCTAATTTGAAATATTCTGTAATAGTCAACTCTATATACATTACTCGAACAAAGAAATATATTATGCCATATGAACAGTGGATAGGTGCAGATAACTTTAATATGATTGGTCTTTGAATCTAGTTCTTGAGAGGCATTAAAAACAACTAATCCCATAAGTAGGTTTAAATACTCCTTGTTTCATTTTAGTGACTTTCAAATATTTTGAATTACTTCATACTTGAGTATGTGATGCTAAAACGTAAAAATAGGCTTATAATTTATTTTTTTAAACAAAAAGATTAATACGATATGTTTTTATGGTTTATACAATAAACCATTACACATGCACACAAAATAGGTATGCAAAAAACATTTTTAGTTTAAAATAAAATCACACTTGCCTTTTACAATAGTAATATTGGTATCACTCATGACAAGCTCCCTGATGATTCCTGTAGAGATATTGGATCCTCCAGAGAAGTTCAAATTAAAATCATTTTGTGACAGGTCAAGGTGCTTCAGAATTGGCATAGCCTCCAAGTCTCGGAGATTCACGGTGCCAATTGCATTTCGTGCAACAGATAAATATTGCAGCTTGGGCCATTGTGGTGCATGTGGAAATGCCTGTAGTCTGTTGTAGCTAAGATCTAACAATTCCAGGTTCACCACTTGTTTCAGAAAAACTTCTTTTATATCATTACCATGGAGTATCAGGTTGTGCAAGTGTGTGAGGTTTTGCAAACTGTGGTCTGTTAAGTACAAAATATTATTTCTGCTCAAGTCCAGTGTTTTTAAAGTGGGTGGTAAACAGGGTGGAATCTCTATTATGTTGTTATTTGATATGTTTAGAATTTCAATTTTAAGATCGCTTAATATCCCACAGGAAAGGTTGTATAAGTTTTTATGAGAGAGATCTATTATCAGGTTGTTGTTTTCTGTGTTCATGAAATTAGAAATCTGATTATTTGTTATTTTGCTTTCAGTTTTCCAAACTATACAGGTGGTCAAAACACATCCTAGTATCAGAAGCATTTTATTTGTTCTTTATGCGTCCTGAAATAAAACAAGTTTTGTTATTTTATTTTGCATTTTAGTGCAGCAGTTTTATTAAAATACAGTAAAAGTTTACAACATATCATTGTACCAAGATAGACAATAAAATCAATTTAGAACTTAAAAGTAGTATAATACAGTTTTTGTTATCTTTATATTACTGGATATTTGTTAGGGGGAATACAACTAAGGAAGAAACCACATAAGGTTTATTATTTCTTGGGCTTTGCCAACCCTGCTTTTTAAGTTTGTTTCTTAAAAAGTCACGCGTCTTGAATACAATTTAATAATTTAACATACAAAATACGCACTGTAAAAAAAAAATCACAAGGCATGTAATTAGACCTTAACTGTAGCCTTCCATTTTGTCTTTGACCACAATTTTTTAAAGGTTTTAGCTGTGGATCGTCACATCTTTTGTCTATTTTATTCAGTCTTTACTGTTCAACAGTGTAAATCAAGTAATTCCATCTTTGTCTAATCCATCTTTAGATAAATTGTAAATGTTGTAATTAATGATACTCACCAGAATCCAAATGAAATCGGTAGGTGTTTTTCCTTTGAAGCAACTGGTATGCTCTTACTTGTAATATTAAAAGGTTCTGACTCCACTTTGTCTCTTAACATACCAAAAAGGAGGGGGAGGGCCGAGTGTAGGGTCATGTTGCTGTTATCTAACAGCTGAAGGGAGTAAACTTATCAGTTCTTTTTCAGTAAAAAGCTGAGATCATCAACTCAGTTTTACCTAAGATATCCTTATAGTAATAAAAAATGTTCATGAGCTTTGTGTAACATTAAAACTGTTTTTCACACCCAGTCATAAATACAAAACCCTTTGAAATGCTAAGTATGTATGTGTTTTCTTTCTGTTGTCAATGACATTCCACACATCATAACCCATGTGTGTAATGACCTTGAAAATAAAGAAAAAGAGAAGGTTGGAAACAATTCTGATTGAATGGACAAAAGTGGTACACCTGTTTCAGGTTCAGGATGTACAGAATGTGTACAGTGGCTATAAGTATTCACCTCCCTTGGACTTTTTCATATTTTATTGTATTTCAATTTAGAATCATAATTTATTTACTGGGAACTTCTTGTCATTGATCAACACAAAATATTCTATAATGTCAAAGTGAAAACAAAATTTTCCAGATCCTCGTAAATTAAATATAAATATAATACCAGAAATAACTGCATAATTATTCACCCCCTTTGCTATGGAACACCATATTACTATGGAAATATGTAACTGCTAGCAGGGGGACAGGGGAAGGCCACAAAACAATTCATACAGTATGTTGCATTTGAGAAATTTACATTTCAAAATACATTTCAAATGTCCTATGTTTCTTTTATACAGTGATTGTCCAGATAACTATCATTTGAAAAGGCAGTGCATATTTGCATATGATCCTTATTAAATTCTCTTTGATGCATTTACAGTCAATTTTGATTTTCATCTTTCATGTTTTTTGCACATTGCTTTTTGTTTTGATAAAAGGTTTTGATAAATATTTAATGCAGTTAAGCATTTAATGGCAACTCTCAAGTGTTCAGAAATAGCTCTGGGTGAGGAGGGACAATCTCAGAAATTAAGGAAATGAAAATCAAACTTCATCAAACTTTAGCAAATAGAGTTTGGGAGTTGTGTATGACTTTCTAAAAAAACTTTTAAGATGTCAACATGTAGAGAAGGATGTTAAAATATTGTACATTGTAAGCATTCTCTTTGTATTAAGCACAATTAATGCACACAAAAAAAGGATTAAGAACACAATTAAAACACCTTTTTTTGTATACAGGACAGAAAGAGAAACAAATAAGCTGAAAAATTATCATACAGTTACTGAACATATTATCTGAATAACCCATTTCATGTATCCCTTTAAAAACTTAATTCAGATTTTACTTGGATAAAGATAAGAATGCCAGGGAAAAGTTAAGAATGGCCATTTATAATAATACGACTAACGCAATGTAAATCTATGGAATTTTCACACACCACTGGCTGTACCCAGCACTAGCTTGCACCAGTCAAGAAACTCTCAGTCTCTATGGTTACAAGAAAAACTAACATTTTCCCAGATAGATTCCCTTATACCCTATCCCCCCCCCCCCCACACACACACATACCACACTTAAACCAACCAAAACATCCATACAAAACATATATTCAGAATGCAGTTAATCTAAGCATTTAATGCATTATTTTGCAAAGAAAAAGATCATTGTACATTAAAGTTACAAATTGCCAGACTAACAGAGCATTGTTTTTTTATACAATCGAGACAACTTTCAAACCTTCACTGACAGAGACCAGATGACACCATGTAGATGGGGAAGTTAGATTCAAAATATTACTACACAGTATAGACAAAAGTCTCAAATCAGTCTTCAAAAAACATTCTTTGTTTCCTTGAAAATGTATGGAATGTGAAATGTCAACAGTAGAACTCTATCTTATCTCGTAAGGAATACCCCTGACATACTTCTCCTATTATCAAATTTAAACCACCTTAATGGGGAATATAACACTCCTAAAATAACTGTAAAAATTACTACTACCTGATTATACTGATGGCAAGTTCACATTTATTGCTTACAATTTAATAAATACAATCTTATTGATTTCTTATTGAAGATTGGTTGTTATCCTTTTCAAGAATGAATTCTTTGGCATTCAGTCATGATGGGATGTCACCATAAAATTTGAACAATATATTGGAAAAATATTAGCTTATAGACCTACAGAATGCTGTTTTTCAAAATTATTTTTCAAGATATTTTTTTTAAATCTGAATACTTTTTCCTTCAATTCTAGAGCATAGTTTGCAAAACCAATTATTTATTTATCGTATGCTGTAAACCCAGATCTATAACAGCAGAGATTAGTTAGTAGGAAGAGTGTGTACACCGCTGCCACTTAGAAAGATACCTGATGCCTGCAGGTATCAGGCTGGAGACATTATCATTATCACAGAGCAAACCAAGGACCCAGATACCTGACCTAATCTAGTTTCGGTAAACACAGGTACACTGTCCATGCAAAGTAAAAAAATAGCAGAATCTCTTCTCTGGACAGATGCTTTTACTCTTTGTGACCTGCAAATGAATTTGGACCCTTCCACAGTTTTCAAATTTTGTTGCTTTAAAACTTGAAGTCATTTTGAAGTAGCAATATTTATGTACCCTATCTACTCCACATATTTAAAGTAAGAACCAAAATGAAGAAAATATATGCAAAATAGGTGCAAAAAAGTCAACCTTAAGAGCCACACAATTAGTTGGTCTCTGTCAGTGTGCATTAACAATGGTTTACATGATTTCAGAATAAATACACATATCTCTGTAAGGTCCATGAATCAAGGAATGAATTTCAAGTGAAGATTCAATCTGAAAGACTAAAGATCTTTAAAATAACTCAAGGATAAAGCTGAATAATATTACAGATAAGGTAAAGGGTATTAAACATTTTAACGAACCTTAATCTCTAAAAGCAAGGTGAAGTCAATCATTAAGAAGTACAGTAGAAGACACCCAGATGTTGCCTAGATCAGACTGCTCCTCCAAAATGAGCAGTCAAGGGAGGCAACTGGGTAAGGATGCCAAAGGCAGCTTTGAAGGTTACGCAGCTTAATAGGTGAGATGAGAGAAAATGTCCATGGTCACTCTACAAAAGGGGCTTTATGGAACTATAAAGACATCTCGAGTACCTCAAGGGCTTTTCAACAAAGTGATACTGCAAATATGTGGCAAAAGGTGATGTGCTCAGACATCAGACATTAGAACTTTTTGGTCTAAATGCAAAGCATTGCATCTGATGCAAACTCAAGAAGCATTATGTAATATGTCTTCTTATTAGCAGGTACCGAGAAGCTTGTCAAATAGGATTTGGACATAAATGGAGCAAACTACTGTCAAATCTTAAGAGGAAAACTTGCTTCAGACATAAAACTGAGACTGAGAAATTCACCTTTCAGCATGAAAAAAGGCCAAAGCTACACTGGACTGGCTCAATACAGTAAGCAAATGCCCTCGACCTTCTTTTGAACGTTTCCTCACTTCTGAATTCTTCTAGAATGTAGTTTGCTCCTAGTTTTGAATAGCAGAGGATATGTTCAAGTTATTTTCCTGAAGCTGCTTACTTCTGAGGTTTATCTCAAAAAGGTTGTTGTATTGTAAAATGAGTGAAGTCACAAATTTGAACTTGGAAAGGCCATTTGAAAGAGCGTTTGTTTCTGAATGTGTCATATTGCCAGAATTTGCCCAGTGGTAAATCTCTCTTCACTAATTAATGTTTCTATTCTAAAAAAAATGCGTCACAAAATTAGGAGGGAATGTTTTGAGCTTGTTAAACTCACAGTAAAGGGACTTAGAATTTCCTTAAATAACAGGACAGTAAGCTGTCTTTATCAAGGTTCAATTTACAAAACAAGGTTGTCACTTGGTCCTGCTGCACCTTTCCTTCCCTGTCTGTCTTTATCTCCTTTCCCTGACCACTCTCTCTCATTTTTTATGCTCTCTTAATGCGTGTTAAACGTGTATTCTTCGTTTTGAGTAACCAGACCAACTCTCAAGAAGCTTCCTTTTGATCCTCTCTCTTAGCCCAAATACAGCTACTGTACATACAGTACTCAGTTTCTACCCATTGTTTTAGACCTCTTAAGTGGAAACAATATTATCAAATGAATGTTGATAAATACATGACTAATTAATCAATGAACCTTACTTCTTACTACAAGTAACCAGTTATAAGATAGAAAAGTTCATAATTATGCACCCCAATATCCTGTAGCTCAGTTTAATAATGCTTAAACATACTCACATTCTGGATTTATAATGTTGAAAGACAATAACTCTGTGTATCCGCTCTATGGTAGTAACACAGGCGGTAGTGCAGGCGAGAAGCAGTAGTGATGTACCCTTGTGGAATGGAGTGACAGAATGCAGGGCACAATTCAGGTCTTATTGTCTTGATTTGAGCACAAACTCTCAGAATTGTCTAGGAATAAAATACCTACATGTGAACTGAAATAATGCCATTTGTTACAGTATTTCTATTTTTGAAATATGTTTTACTTTTCTTACATTATTTTTAAATTTTTTCCTCAAATTTGATGCTTCATTTAGCTTGGTGTCCTAGGGAGCTTCTCTAGCTTGCCTATATAAACTTAAAGAACTACAATTAGTGGCAACCTGAAGAAAAAATAATCAAATCAATTGTGAAATGGAAATATTAATCTTAAAGCATTGATGTTGATTCTAAGTTTATGAAGCAACACCAGAAGATGCAACCAAGTATTGTTTAGTATTATAATCCACCAGCACTATCAGTATTTTTTGTAGAATTAGCATGAAAAGAATGGTCTTATTATGTGTCAATTAAAAAAAAAAACATGAAATGTTATATTAATACGTGATAGGAAAAAAACAGGTTCAGAGTTTGAATGTGATAAGAAAGATTCATGGGTAAAAGTAAGTTCCTCAGTTTATTGAATTGCGTTGTTTGCTACATCTTTTATTTATTTAGCAAAATGGTAGGTGCTGACATTTATTTTGCTGGAAACTAGACAGAAATTGAAGTTTTATATCACATTTTTGTACCACATTTCCACTGTACTTCAGATTCAAATATGAATTTGAGCTCTGGGAGACCTGTAGTAAGTACGAGCCTTTTAAAATCACAGGCTTATACAGGCTTATTCCTGACCACCAGTTAGTTTGTGGAACAATTCTTCATCTAAGGTTTCATTCTGGTCCTTGGATCTGGTTGACAAGAATATATATCCTCCTATATATTCATGTACCACCTTACAGTCACAACTCTGACAGGAAAATGCAATAGACACATTCTGGTCGAAATCAATGGTCACCTGGAAAATGAAAAAAAAAAGTAAATTAAGTATTAATCTTGTTTAACTTACTTAGGTACAATTTATACTGCTGTATAATGTTTTTTATGACATTGTTTTGGGCTCCATGAATCATTAAATGACACTCATTCAGAATTCAGTATATTCACTATATTCTTCAACAAATTCCTTACAAATTAACCACTAAAACCTAAATAATTAACCATTAAAATGGACAGGAAACCTAACAATATCTAATCTAGAAAACCTCAAAATAAACTTCAACAGCCTTCATCAGCACACTGCTATGTTCTCTTTTAAGAACAGAATTTGCATATAATGTGCACATAATGGGCCCATAACACATCTGATTAATTATTCACTTTTACAAGCTGCATTAAACTAATTCAGTCTTCAAGAAAATAGTAAACATCCTTTATTTTCATCCTTCCACAAGGCCATGCTAAAACATTAAAAACCACCATAAATGTAATTTTTTGTAATTTGTCTGTCACTGGACGTGTTACTGTATAACTACTGTTCTTGTAGCTGATTTCATGTCCTTTGTATTCTGTAGGCAGAAAACAGTTAAACACACACAAAGCCTATGAATAGTAACAAACGGTTCAACACCAAACATCTAACTGATAATTTTTCAATTAGAAAATTATGTTTTTTTCAAACTTCCATTCTAACTACACCATTTCAAAAACTAACTTTCAAAATGTTGGTCGCTGCAAAAAACAAAACAATATACAGTATCAAATACTTTTGAATTTCCTCATACCAATTCTGGGCTACAAAAATAGGAAATCACCACAATTTTCATTGTATTTGTTTATAAAATTCAGATTTTTCAAAAATTGTATCCTCTCTTCACAACTAATCTCATCCTTGGGTATGAAATGTTGCAGGAAAAAGTCCTGCAACATTTAAACTAATATTTAGTTTATTTCAAGTGAAAGATACAGTAACCTATATTAGAATAATTAAATATTAATTTCCTTTTTAAATAATATTTGGCACTTTCCTCAGATGTAGAGTAGCTACTATGCTAATATGCATTTGGCACTGTACTGTACCTGCCGAATCTCCCAGTTCACATTCCATTGCTTCATATTGGAAAATCTCCATGTTGTAATTGGAAGCCCTGTTGACATGTCTATACGTATGAGTCGATTGTAGGAAATTCCAAGTATCTCATCTTTTTTGCTTCCTCGAAACCTAAGGCATCCAACATTACAAAAAAAAACAGTCACTGAATTTATTTTAGAAATACTTCAAAGATGAAAACCAAATGCTATTAATATTCATTACCCGAATGTTACAGAAACCATTCATATTTGTGGCTTGAGTTGATCCATTTCTGTACCCTAGGTTAGACGAGGAAACATACTACATTGTCATGTGGCAGTGAAATATTGAAACATAAAAATGAAACTTAAAATAATTAACATAATTAAAATGACAATTCACTGTTATCCCTAGATTACACACCAATGTGGATGAAACCACCTATCTTTTGGAATTCCTTTATATTTTTGATTGTGGTAAGCAGAAGCCTAATTCAGCATTGACTACATTCTGGATGGTATTCCACTCCATCATAGGGGGACCTATACAAAGTTACTTAAAGTGATCAGTTTAGAAATTCCAATTAAATGGAACAATATTGCGGACACCAGAGCACCTGAAGAAAACTCACAAAGAATCAGGGAGAGCTCATAAACTCTCCCTGTGTCCAAACTGAATTTGGAATTAAATTTCGTACCCAAAAACAACCCTTAACACCACGCCACAGTTTTGTCCATAAAATCATCATGTAAAAAAAGTATTCCAGGCATATCAAACAATTTTTGTATTGATGGGTAATTAGAAAATGGATGAAAAATCCATGGCTGTTTATCACACTTTAAAATTTACTTGTAATGTTATATGTAACTTACAACGTCTTTTTTAAACACAGAATTTATGCAAATAACATTTCAAATTTGAAGAAAAAAAAGAAAATAGGGATAACCATGGCTGCCATCGCATCATCCAGGCGTATGCTGTACATTGGTGGTGGTGGAGGGGAGTCCCCATTACCCGTAAAGTGCTTTCAGTGGAGTGTTCAGAAAAGTGCTATGTAAGTCTATATTTTTACCTCATCAGATGAACTGTAAATCAGACGTCCTGTTTGTTACATTTTAACACCATCACTCAGTGAAATGCACATTGCATCTTCAAAGTAAAACTCCTCCATCTCGTGTTTTTCTTTATATCTACATATGTACTGTATAGGAACGAGTAATAGGTTTATTCCATGCTGAAAAAAAGAAGAAAGAAAACTTGTTTCGGCCGTGGAGCCTTCTTCAGTTGTGAGCCTAAAGAAGGCTCCACGGCCGAAATGTTGTGTTTTCGTTGTATTTTTTTCAGCATGGAATAAACCTATTACTTGTTTCTTTGCAGCCTATGCATGCTGATGCAGCTACCCACCTGAACTATGTACTGTATATATGTCTATATGTATATAGAGGAGGTTAAAAAGTTTTTAAGTTGCATAGAATATTTAAGTCTGTCTCCTATCTCATAGGTATCTCACACACTGATGACCCAATTTCATTTGTCTTTCTAAATTGTGAGGATTACTTAAAGCTGCCAATTCAGTTTTCTCATCTTATGCATTTATGTTTCTTGTTAATGGGTTCATGTTGTGTGAAATGTATTATGCATTGTGTTCTGTCTTTTACCTGCCTGCAAAGCAAATTTCCAAACTGGGAAATAAGGGAAAGCAAATAAAATGATTAAGAATTGGACCTTTTAATGAACCCTAAACAGCTGTTTATAAATGTATATGTGCTGTATAACAATCTGCTGCAAGAACACAAAGACAAATCAGTTTATAACACTGAAGGACCCCAACTGTACCAGAGAAAATTATTATTCACAGGCCAACACAGGTGAGACTGGGATTTATACTGTATGTGACCTACAAGTAAGAACTTAAGAAAGGTTACAAATAAGAGGAGGCCATTTTGACTAAAAAAGTAATGACTGGTATTTTTATATATAACAATACAATCTACAAAAAAAACACTTGTTGGAGGAGGACAAGGAGTGCTCCTGAATTTCACACTGAATCTGACCTTCTAAAAATCTAGTCTGTATACTGCAGATATGGTAGGTTGGGTCATTGCTTCCTTATCAAGAGCAGTCTTTTGCAATCACAACCACTGCAACCGACTCACTTCTTACACAAAATTATGTACTAGGCTTGTCATCACTCAAAAGTTATAGTACTGAAAAAAAGGAGTGGAAATTGTTAGTTATGCTTATCCTTGACAAAGTAGAGGGGTTAGAAAGCAAGTAGTCATCTTCTATTTAGAAATCATTAAAGAAACAGTATGTCTCTGCGTAAGGACTGACAGAATTGTTATATGACAGAATGTGTTGTCATTATAAATAACATGTGATAACCACTTCTTAAGGTAATTTGCTGTAGTACACTATTACCTTACAATGTAGTATTTAATGCCAAACTCTGGCAGGGACTGCCAAGCTTGAATAAAGCGCATCTTGGCTTCCATGAGAGATAACTGAGCAACATTCTGATGGGCCTCCAGGATTCGGGCTGAAAGCTTTTCAAAACAAAAATGATTTAATTAGACAAGGTTACAGTTATTGGTAAAGAGTAGCATGTATTGTTACAAGGAAGAAGTACATGAAAGGTGTTTTTGACAAACTTTAGCATTAGGAAGTTGCTTGGGATATGCTCGTTAAAGGACTCATATAAACATATCCACTCATTCATTATCTATCTGCTTCATCGGATATAGGGCCAGAGGGGAGATGGAGCCTTTCCTGGCAAGCAATGTGAAGAATATATATATATAGATTTAACTTCAATTAGAGATAAACAAATTAATTTTGAAAGATGTTTTTATGTAAAATGTGAGGACTGAATTTATTATTTTACAGGAGGTTTAATTGTGAACTTCAGGAGCAGTAACAAACTAATTTTAATTTCTACAAGAGAAAAAAATCATGGTACTTGATGTGTTTTTTTAGCTTGATTCAATTAAATTAAACAATGTGATTTTAGTAATCATATTCCAGAACTCAGATTTCTTGCTAACTTCAGTAATGTATTAACAATTCTTCCCTTGCTGAATTTAATATTTATTAACTTTACATCCCTAGAGGTCCAGTCATACCTGTTTGGATTTGTACTTTTTTCCATATCTGGGAGACACAAAGCACTCCGAATTCATTTCCATGGTTTCAGGGTCGAGGGACGTCTGTCCAGAGGGAGTTGCCAGGTTTTTCATCTGCAGAAAGGACTGAATGTTGCGGACTTCACTCCTGTAGGAGCTGTAAGCCATAGTCTTCCCTTTCGAAGCGAGAATGCACGCAGCTTTCCACTTTGCGTACTGGGTTTCCTTCACAAACATATATATATATTAGATTATCATGCCTGCAAAAACCTATGGCATTTAAATTAATGTAGTTTATACAAACGTCTGGTAGTTGGCCAAACCTTAATCTCACCCAGTACCTACAAATAGCATTTCTTTCCTACTCTTTTGAGTTTTATTTGCACATTTCGCTTGTGTATCTCTCCCTGCATCTCACCTTTGTCCTCGCATCTGCTCCCTGTCTCATCCTTCATTAAAAGGGAAGGGGTTCCAACAGACATGTCCTTCCAAAAGGTTACTCTTGTAAATTTCACTATGCAAATCATGCCATTTCTGTGCCTTAATTAGGGTTTCACCGAACTACTGGAATGCAACAGGTTCACTGTCACACCCTCATGGGGTTAACTCTTGTTAACTGGTTTTGGTACTGTGATGAGGTTTCTTAACAAATGTCTGTCCAAGAAATGCTATAGTGGCTTCCATGCAGTATATCTCAAAACCCTCTGTCCTTGTAATTTGGCACTGAACAAAATGTGTGTAACTCTGTACCTCTGATGGGTAAAAAAAATACTTGCTTATTTAATCAAAAGATTTAAGTAATAAGCTTACATTTTCACATCGAATGTACACTTCATTAATGCCATCAGCAACAGGAAGTAGGAGCTTTATTCCAAACTTTTTGTCTGAGACATTTACGTCGGGAACAACTTCACAACCTGTGTAAAGTTTAAATAACAAAACATTAAAAGAAAGATTTCTTGAAAAGTCAGACAGTAATAACCCTCATTCTCTCATTGTCTGCCCCTCTCCTTTAATAACTATCTTTCTGTGCCTCTATATACAAGTACATTGTTTACTGTATACTTAACTCTCTCCTCCTGTAGCACGTTTATGGGGAATTTATATTCAAATTTATAGTCAAATGTCAGTATCTGGAATGACCCCTCACCCCTTGATTTAGCATTTATCAGTGATGCTCAATGTTGCACTGGATATGGTCTCCTATATACCAGACAAAATGTCTGCTAAGAAACAAGTAAAGTTTTATTCAATGCTGGAAAGAAAAGAAAATAATCGCCTTCTTCAGGTGTGTTAAGTACCTACCTACTTGAACAAGTAATAGGTTTATTCCATGCTGAAAAAAAGAAGAAAGAGAACACAACGTTTCGGCCGTGGAGCCTTCTTCAGGTGTGAGAGAGACAGGGCAGTAGGCAAAGGTAAAGTAGCGGGAGAACAAAGGTTGGGGGGAGGAGGAGTGAGAGGCGGGAGCAGGGGACAGAAAGAGAGGCCAATCAAGAGGTGTGAAGGCAGAATGGGTGCCGAGAGGTGTGAAATGAAACTTCCAATGAATGGAGAAAATTTAAAAGAACAGTAATCTGTCGTTAAGGGAAGGGAGAATGTGTGATCCTAACTGCAGAATAATTTTAGAATACTAAAATTATTCTGCAGTTAGGATCACACATTCTCCCTTCCCTTAACGACAGATTACTGTTCTTTTAAATTTTCTCCATTCATTGGAAGTTTCATTTCACACCTCTCTGCACCCATTCTGCCTTCACACCTCTTGATTGGCCTCTCTTTCTGTCCCCTGCTCCCGCCTCTCACTCCTCCTCCCCCCAACCTTTGTTCTCCCGCTACTTTACCTTTGCCTACTGCCCTGTCTCTCTCACACCTGAAGAAGGCTCCACGGCCGAAACGTTGTGTTCTCTTTCTTCTTTTTTTCAGCATGGAATAAACCTATTACTTGTTCCTTTGCAGCCTACGCATGCTGACGCAGCTACCCACCTGAACTACTACCTACTTGAACTACAATGTCTGCTATCATTGTACTGAAAGCATTATCATAGTTTGGTGGCTTGATATCTAAAAACCAAGGTCTGTGATGAAGGGCAGAGAACACACTCTCCATTGTGCTTACGGCATATTGTCTCTGGACTTTGGTGTGAGCATACTGTAACATGGGAGTATGTTCAGACTGACACATGATTCATAGCCGATCCAATGGACACTTCAAATATTTCTATTAATTGTGAAAATTATCCTCCTTATGACATATTGATTTTTTTTAAATTCAACGCCAAATTGATTTAACCAGCATCAACCTCCTAGTTTTTTAAATCAGGATAATCCTCATCTACTTGTCAAGTGTGTGATAGCAGTCAGTGTGCAAAACCAAATCTTATAGCCATACCTCTGAGATGGAACTGCTCAATGGGCTCTGCAGTGGCTGATTCCTTATTCTTGTAGTATGATATTGTGGTGTCTTTAAAAACAAACCAGTACTCTTTATATGGTTTCAGTGTCAGCCTTTTAGGTCTGAAATATAAAAAAAAAACATATGTCAGTCTTGGAAAGTACTTAAAATAGAAAGACCAGGCAAACGTAATAGGACAGACAGAAAAATATGCATAATTCCTTTAAAGATCCTCTAGGTGGGGCTATGAGGCCATCCAAAATAGTAAGATTTAACGACGTAGTGATAACTTCTTACCACTTTTCAAAATTCAAAATACAGTCACGAGTTCAAGCTTAGAAAGGAAGATTTGCAACGTACTTGAATGATGTTTATACAACTGCCGTAAAACATTCTCATAAAGATATGTATATATTGTCAACTTAGGAGACACTTGAGTATCAGGATGCAATTTAAGAATTATGCTGTCATAACACAAGAACTGTGCAACGAGGTTTTTAAAGATGTCTTTCTTGGTTTAGCCATCGTTAGCTGATTGGGTCTGATGGTTTCATTCTTCTGCAGTGTATTCCAAATTGTTGATTTTAGTTTACCCACTTTTTTGCTATTGGTCTGACAGGGGTATGCTTTCAGCATCAAAATTGCCAATTTAATTCAAAATGTAACTTAAAGAATTACAAACACTGCCTTTAAAGACAGGTGATGTTCAAAGCTATTTTATGAGTGCCTAATTACAGAGTAATTAACATGTAACTAAAAAAAGTAAACTGCCCCAATACTTTTGTGACTTGAAAATGAAAAGGTCCAACACTATCAATTTGTTTAATTGACTCAAGAGTCTAGAACTGAACTCACTTTATTAAAAATAAAACACTTAAGAGTTGTGCTTATCAATTGATTTTTTTCTGTTCTTGGTATCCCTTAACTTTCTGAAAAAGGTTTCCCACACATACCTAAACAATTTAAGGGTGTCTGCAAGCTTTGGGATATCTGTGATGTCCTCCTAAAATAAATAAGAAATTTTTCAAATATGCAATATATACACCAGTACACTGAGAAAAATCAAGTAATTCAGTATTTTATTTATTTAAAATAAATTTAAAAAATAAAACATGAAAAGTAAGATTATTAATGGTTTATTAATATGGAAACAGGTTTTACATGTACAGTACCAAGAACTATAAACATAAGAATCCTAATAGTATAATAGCCCCAGGACCTGTCTAACCACAGGGTTTTATCTGTTTAGTTCTTTAATTTCAGACTGTTTTGGTTTATTTGTTGCTTTGGATACCAAACATCAACTAAATTTAAAATACAAGTAAATCTAATGACAGTTTATGTGAATAATATTTCCCAGTGCAGTCTCTTAAGCTCCTTTACTATTCTTGTTTTCATTAATACCTAGAATGTCTAAAGGAGTTTTAAAAAATGTATTTCTTAAAAGTGTTTTTCATGCTTTTGAAATAATTAAAAACTGAATACAAATTAGTTCAGAATAACAGTTTTACACACTTCGGTATATGAATCTAGTTATTTTAACTTTACTAACTTCACTGAGTACAGTATTGTTGCCTCATAGCTCTAGAGACTCTAGAGTCTAGAGTATTGAATTCCATTTCTGCCCTCTGTGTGGAGCTTTCAACAGGTGCACTGATGGCCTTCTACCATCCAGACCTGCAGGTTAGGTCTGACTATATAAAAATTGTATACCTGGGGTTTATTGCCAAGAGTCAACAAGCCCATTCCACTATTTTGCCCCAATACAGAGAAGCTTTGGTACCACTTTCCTTCACAGCTATCTTTGGTTATGGGACTAGAGTGAAGGAACTTAAATGATGTTACAAGAATTACAACACAGTTATCGCTGCTCGGAACCATACCAGGATTCTGTCTGAATTTCCTCCCTCAAGTGTCACTTCCAAACTGGTAAGGGCAGCTTCTACTTCATCCTCGTCAGGCTCTTTTGAGGAATTCAGTGGTTCAGATGACATTGTCAGCTTGCTTATATGGTACTGAAAGTAATGAAAATTATCTTTATAGTAGCACAGCCCGACGACACAGAAAGCCTTTTTCCTGTACAAATTTGGGCTTTTCAGTGTTTACTCTCAATCTTGTGTTTTTTAGGATAGATTTGTAAATTTGTGGCCAAGACTGCTTTTAAAAACTCTGATTCTGAACTTGGACTGACAATGAACAGTAATTAAACAGCCTGTTTTTAGGTGCTGTGGCAGTTAGGACTGCTGCCCCACAACCCTTGAGTCATTGGTTCAAATTGCATTTTTGTCCAATACTCTATTGGAATTTCACTGTGTGCTCCGGTTTCCTCTCATCTTCCAGACTAGCACTGCTGCAATTCTATCTAGGTAAACTGGCATCCTTTACTCATTCCTGTCTACATGTTTATGTGTATCCCTGCATCAGACAGGGATCCCATGAAGGGTGTGGTACTGCCTTGCACCCTATGTTAAAATAGGCTCTGGGATTAAACAACCCTTGGTTATCAGGAATAAGCAGTTTGGTGAATGAATAGAGCCTGGTTTTGAAAGAACAGTACCAAAATCTCGTGAGATCTAGAGTCAAAAACAACAATGTATTTTCAATCTATTAAGAAACTGAATAATGGTAATACTAAAAAAGGACATAGGAACAATAGGAGGAGTTTTCTGAATACTCTTTCTAAAATGACAGTCAAACATTTATTTTATGTCGTCGTGCTATGAAAATGTAATTTCAAAAGTAAATGTAGATAGTTGCCCTAATATTTATACATCTGCTGCTGGTTAGAGATTTACTTATATTTTGCTATTAAAATGATCAAATAAAATAGGAATCTACCTTTATGCTATACTACTGTATAACTGTTAATGATATTCAGCGAAGGCGGGTATATTTAAAAATACAGTATCAGTCTGGTATAATTTGATTACCTGAAACTTGTACTGTAAAATTCTTTGTGCTTTAATACTTAATGGATCTCTGCCAAAGATACATATATATTTTTTTATTTGTAAGTGTTTGTACCTCGCCCTGTATTGAAGTTCCTCCAAAAGCAGAGTTTTCAGACTGATGCATTTTCCCAGTGGAAACTGAAACCTGACACCTATCCGCAGCTCGGTTAATATGTTTCTGTTTTATTATATTCTTGTCACAACATGCACTCCCTCCCCCCTCGAAAGCCAAATAGAACTGGTTCTGCAGCTGTGGTCAAGCCTGTACCTGCAGGGCTGCAAATATCAGCATTTCTTCCTCAGTGCAGTCAATTTCCTCCAAGAGAATGGCCCACCTTGCCTGTTCATATATCTGGTTTATTCTGACAGCATCATACTGGAAAGAAAGACAAAGATTAACATTCACCTGACATCAAGCATTTTTCTTTATTCAAGCTAAGAAGGGTGTTTTGTGAATATAATCTTCCAAAGAACAAGTTCACAGAATTTCTCTCTTCACATTCTACCACACTATGTTGTCTGTGCTGTTTTCTCTTTTTTTTGTAGGTTACAACAATTTGTTTTGATTTCTTAGAATGCACAGTATTCTAGCAAAACAAATGCGAGATCACATACTGTACAAGCCTGTACAGTATATGAATAAATGAGGCAAACCTGAATTAGTAAATTTAGCTGAAAAATAAAATCATTGTAATGTATTCTGTATTTTAACATAAAACAAGTAAAATAAACATTATGGCTCCCTTAAATATTAACTAAAAATTAGTGTCTCACATTTTTCATATGCCTCTGGTGTCTAACTAACTGATTGCCCAGCCAATCAGCATATATGTTCTACAGTCATTATGCTAGTTAGTATATCTGTCTGAGATCTGGCCAGGCATACATTACAAAAAGCTGCAAGACTGCAATCACAGGTGCTACTTAGTGTCAGCAAAGTTCTTTTAAAGAACAATAAGTTCCTTTCAGTAGGTAAAGGAAGCAATGTTCTTTTCCCTACTTTCTTTCACCTCATTATATATCTGCTGCTTCATTCTAACACTTCCTCTTTAGTGTAAAATGATGTACCACTGCCTAATTTTGTAAAGAAAAAAACAATATGCTATTATTCAAAATGTAATTCTACCAAACTCTACTCAAAACTACACATTTGAGCTTCTGCTTTAAGGTAATCTTGTTTGACTACTATTACAATCAAATAGAAAGTTTCTATAACACCATGACAACAGTATATTTGAATAACACGATCAGAAGCTCCAAATTCTAAGCCCATGTTATGAGGAAAATGGATGTTGCCAAGATCATTTACTTTTGGGTTAAGGTCAAAGAAGCAGTGATATTTGAAGCGCAACAACAGCTTGTCACCCTCATGGATGTCTTGTTCCATGAGGGAACGAGAGGAGTCCAACCACCTGTGAACAACAAAATAATATAAAACTGACAAAGAGAAAAGAAAGACACAGGTAATGCCTGGATGCAATAATGAAACATACTTTGGAGAAAAAACACTGTCTTAGAAATGGATGATACAGTATTTCCACCTCAATCCTAGAGCTCAAAATGTAACTTTACAATCTAAGACAAATCACTGGTCAGCCCTGATTAAACATAAATATTTCTAATCGACAAATCACTTTCTTTTCAGGGTATTTATCATTAACATTCCCTTCACCACACCATGAACCTTGCATAAGCTCCCTCCACCTAATGGGACTGTTCAGTTGTCTTATCTTGTCATTCACTCAGCTAACAACACTAATCCAAATTATGTCTCCATTGTGCCATAATTAGGTTTTGTAAAAACAATTGAAGTGATTAATTTTTAAGTGATGAAGTTTCACTGATTTCCACTTCCATTTTCTTTAGCTAAAAAACACTGATGTTGTTTTTAAGACCAAGGCTAAGCTACATACAATGCCTGTTCAACATACACTTTCTTACCCTGAGTTCATGATTGCCTTGTCAACTAGCTGTAGAGGCTGGTACATTTTGATGAGCTCATCATGTTGCAGGTTTGGCTGGCTGACAGTTAAAGGATTGTCTCCGAACCAAAGGCTTGTTGCTGAAGCAGGGGTGCCATTCTCTGGGTCATATGTTGGTATCATTGTTTTACTATAGAGTCCAGGACTAGCTGCAGAGGACAAAGATGTTTGATTTCAGTCAGTTTTATCCTTGTGTCCTAATTAAACATAAATTGATATGGAAGAATAACAAAATTGCATCTGCTCTTTATGAACATTTGTAAAATGGCTTAACTCAAAGGCCCTGATATTAGTGATTGAAATCATCAACTTTTGTTACAATTTATGTAGTTCAGCTGGTGACCTTTATCCTGCAAGAGGAAACAAGAAACTAATACCCTTTGTTTACTGTTTATCTCGACATCTTTACATGGAATTTTGTCCTCAAGGCTACTTAAAAACAAAGAACTGAGCAGTGCTGAAAGCAGTGCTGCATGCAAATTTTAGGTACATGTTACACTATTCATTTTATATCATTGAAAAGTTGTGCTTCTGTTTTGAGTTGATAAATCAATCCCATGCAAGCAATACTACCTGTATTTCCTGCTGATATGTTTAAGCCATCCATATCCAAAATTTCTTCAATAATTGTATCTTTCTGCTTGTCTTTTTTCTTTTTCTTTTTCATTGCATCATCTGGAGACTTTAACAAGGATAGTTCCTCTGGTCTCCTGATATCTGAGAGAGCAAATATTCAGAGAATAGTCAGAAATAGACTGCAAATGAACTGTATAATATAAGAGATAGGAATTTAGCATTAGTCTCACTGTTGCAACAATGGTGAAAAGAGAGATTAAATAATTAAAACTAATTTATAGTTCAATTCACATTCAGGTTTCCATTTATATACTGTATAACTTATGAAACAGACCTGATTTTTTTTTAAAAGGCCTCACTGAAATTGTTTCTTAGATCAGTGGGTTAGTTGAGAATTCATGTGGGGTTAACAGCTAAGCACATGATTTGTCAAAAGACTTATGGGCACATTTCAGTGACTTCTGAGTTACAGTGTAGCCCACTTGAATTTCTAATATTTTAATGCTTATATGGAGTAAACAATTTAATAGGGCTGTGACTTCTCTTAAATTTGGAAACTCTGATTTCCTTTGTAAGGAATTCCCAAGCTAAAGACATTCTTAGGATGCATCACTAATTTGTCCCTTTCACTTTGAGAACATCCAGATCAGAAGGGGAGATTTAACTTTGGGTTGTATTGTGTTTTATTTAGAACACAGGTGTATCTCTCTTGGACAGCATGGTGGCACAGTGGTTAGTATTGCTGCCTCACAGTGCTGGGGCGTAGGATTCAATTTCCTGACATGGAGTACTACCTGTGTTGAGTTAGACTGTTTTCCCTGTGTTCGTGTGGGTTTCCTCTAGGCGCTCCTGTTTCCACCCACAGTACAAAAACATACTGGTAGGTTGATTGACTTCTGGTAAAATTGGCCCTAATTATGAGTGTGTGCATGTTTGTCTTTGTGTCGGTTTGTCAGCCCCGTGATGAACTGGCATCCGATCCAGAACAATCCGGACTGGAATCTGGAGGGATGCCGGAATAAAGAGGGAGGCAAAAAATCCATGACTCCAAGGACTTTGTGTGTCGTATTGGTCTCAGAGAGAGACGTCTGTTCTGGAACCAGTAAACAACTCCACTGCCCCATTGTGTTTGTAGAGAAAAATCTAAAGAAGTTTTAGCTAGAGCTTGGACAGAGCCAGGCTTTATTGTTGTTTTTGTTGTTGTTATAAACAAATCATGATTCCTTTTTGATTCCTACAGATTCCATCTATAGTCCAGTCTTTCAATGTGCAAAGATATCTGAGGGACATTACCAGAAAATGGTATCTATAGCACTGGACAGTGATGTTGTGGTCCCCTTCACTGCTTGCAACAGTCAGAAAACCAAAGAAGAAATGACCCCCTTCCTTTATCTCACACAGTTCTTGCTAGTTCCCTACATTTATACACACACAGTTACACAGAGCTAATGTAACCAAAAACAGCAAAATTAAACTGTTCTGTCATTCCATACCATTCTCCATCATGCAGTGTCCCAGGGCATCTCTTCTCCAGAGTTCTACCTGCTGGTTTATGGCCACCTTAATATTTTAGCTGAACCTGATACGAATTCTGTCCTTATTTTAACATATCAAGATCAGTCTCTTGGAAATATTTTTCATTTCCATAGCTCAAAGCAATCAATATTTAATTTTTGTTCTCCCATTTTATACACAGCCCTTTAAACCTACGGTATGCTCTCATGCAAGCTGTCAATGCATAAACGCATTGTAAGTGTTCAGTCTATGACCAGCTGCATATGACAGGTACTGCTTCAAGTTGGTCATACTGTGTCTGCAAAAGTATTTAAGTTTAATGTAATGTGGTGACATGCATACTGTACACTTCAGTCAGACATCAAATTTACTAAAAGTAATTAAATGAAATAGTTTACTACAGAATTCAACAATAAGTTGGATATATGCCTAATATATCCCTCTAATTTTTCTTTTTTTAATATTCTGGAATAATATTACTTATTATTCTTAATTCTTAAGTTCTTAATTCTGGAAGACAGCTATGAAAATAAAAAATAAATTAAACGGACTGGGATCTTTGGTTTTTTTGTTCCCCAAACATGATATGGCAGCTGGCTGTGGCACTTGAAAAACAACTTTAAAAAATGGTTCATTATAGAGCATCACTCAACTTTCACCTTTCACTTTTTTTCCACCTTATTTATTAGGAGTGGAAGATATTAACAACTTCAGCTAATTCTGTGATATGGGTGCAACTCAAAGAATAAATACCTCCTAAACTGCAGATAATCACTGACATGAAAAAAACACTGAGTAAGTAAAACGATAGGCATTACTTATTTCAATAATTCAAGATTGTTCACTGTGCTTGATTTTTTTTCTTTCAATCCAGACAACATTGGTTAAAAAATTACCTAAAGCTGGATTTTTGAGAAATAAACATTGAACAGTCTTTAAATGGGTGATCAACATGTTTCCAAAGCCTATAATGATAGGCACAAAACATACTGTACTCAAGAACTACTCTTTATAATAGGTGTTTTCATACACATCTATCAGGAGGAAACCATACTTTTAAAACTATGGACTGTCTGAATTCCATCTAAGTGCATGAACCCTGCTATTGTAACAAGAGAGACTTAAAAAGTATTCAACTGATGACTAAGCTTTATGCTTGCACCTCAAGTGTCAGTTATGTGTGAGAAACATGCAATTACAGTGTTGAAATACAACCTTCTGCTTCAAGTTGCAGGAGAAAGAGGAATACTGCTGTTGAACAGAATTGTAGCTGTGATCATTTAAGGCTCTTTAAATGCATTTGCATTACTTACAAGAAAAGAAAAATTTGATTTATTTTTCTTTAACTAAAAGATGTTACTTTTAGGTATCAGGAGGAGGTATAATGAGTGAACCTGACTGAGGGTGACCATGCTAACCATGTATCTGGACTCATTTACCAATAAGAGAAAAAGAGCAAAAGATGGACCCTAGCAACCCACAGGCAGAAGACACGTTATTTTTTCTTCTGTAAATAGTGTTTTGTAGGCTTGTATTTGTTGCTGAACTGACTCAAGTTAAGTCTTTTACCAGTAAGTAAATGATTAAGCCAGTTTCTCAAAATTAATTTGGATATGTTCAATTCAAATTAATTTTCAATTCCATTAAACTGTTCACATCTGAAATGTTATGGTTTTAAAGTAAGGAACTTGAATTTTCATTGATCATTTAATATATATTGAGCATTGAAGTACTCATATCTCATCCAAAGATAAAGTATGTTTTATTAAATGCATTACAAATTAAGTATTGCTCTTATTTATGTGATGCAAAAATATCATTTACTCTAGTAAAAAGTATAACATAATACATGTAGCTGCCAGCTAGATCTATAATAAGTTTGCCATGGCATCCATTCAATGTAATTCCTCTATTGATTAAGTAAAGGCAAAAGCTGTGAAAAAGAAGTGAATAAGGCTTGTTATGCTAATGGGGTCAGTTCTATAGAAGGCAGAGTAACACAGAGTAGTACTCGAGAGCTTCAACCTAAACCTCAATTTACATGTTTGACCACATGTTGTCACTTAGCAGCAACTCAGAGAATTAAGTCTATCATGTAGCCTCCACATTCAAGCACAGAACATAAAAGGAGGTGCTGAAGTTGTTTACGAGAGTCATGCTACTTGATAACCACTGTGTAGAACTGCTAGAACAGTAAAACTTTATTTGAATTTTGTTCTGAAGGTAGCACTGCTTAATTTCCAGGCTGACAAAACCACATTTCAGTTAAGCACATAGAAATGTCAATATGGTGACTTCACTGCCATGTTAAGAATTTTAATAATTGTTTTGTAGCTGTAACTACATCCATCATCTTGTTTCAAGACTTACAGCATAGAGAGCTGGAAGTATGATCTGCACCTTTGGCAGCAAATGTGGAATATCTTGATAATTTGACAATAATTATAATAAAAAGCTATAAGGTTAAGATTTTCTCTAAAATGTTTAGAGCATTGTTTTATTTTTTATTATCTGAGTAAAATGCATAATCAGTAAAGCAGCTGCTAAAGTTCTTCTCAGTTCTGTTCTTTGTTACTCTAATGAGATTTCCCTGTTAGTGGAGGGAAGGGTTATGGGTTTAAATTGCTCAAAACTACAGAACAATTTACAGTATGATAAAATTTAGTTTTGCAGCTTTTCAGTGATAAAATGTAGCTGTTTTTAATCTTGTTGTACATAGTACTACATTTTCAAAGTGAACAGCAACAAATTAACTCCCTAGCAAAATCTTTCCACCATGTTATCTCAAACTTTCTCTAAACCAATCAGATTAAACACCTTACTAAATTATTTTGAGGTGAATACTGTATCAGTAGAAGGAGTATTGAACCTCTTCACATAAATAAATGAAGGCATTTACAATGCTCTGATCATAAAGAACAAGAAGGAGAAGATTTGTCACAACCAGGGCACTGCACTGTCTATGGATTGTAATGGAATAATATGTACAGTAGATGGCCTGAAACACAAATTTATAGTGACTGACATTTAAGATAGTGTCAGTATAAGTTACATCCACAAAAATAATCAACCACCCACTGATTTTTTTTGTATTAATGTTGAGTCAACTACAAAGTTACATTTTTATTGACTCAGTTAATTAAATATTTTTTTTAAATACTGAGTTTCCAATGAAGAGTTTTCTTTTTTATATTAAATCAAAAGGTAGAAAAAAAAACTCTTGGCTTACTGAGTGCTCTGCAGATTTCAGTGACTGTCTTGAAGACCACAGCGGAGTAGCTGACAGTCAGTTTCACAGTCTTCATGTTGGGAAGCTGCAGTCGCAGAGGCTTGTGCTGAGGTGTGTAAAGGAGTTTAGCGTCTGCCTGGACGCCATACTTGTCCAATGTCCAGTGGGTTTTCAACAGCCAGCAGTTCTTCTGTTCCCACCACAGAGCATAGTCAGACCAGTCTCGGGGAATCTCTACGCGCCAAAGCAATGAGAAAAGGTGTGAAAAAAGTATCGCTCCATTGTTTTATTGGTAAGACTTATTCATTTAACTTTTTTCTATCTGTGATAGACTGCAGTTGGCATAGTGGTGAAGTAGTTAGCATTGCTGCCACACAGTCCTGGGGTCCTATGTTCAATTCTGGACCTGGTGTGTTATCTGCATGAAATTCTCCCTTTGTTTGCATGAATTTTTCAGTTTCCTGTCCAAAGACATAGTGGTAGGTTATTAAGTTTCTGTGAAAACTGTCCCTAGGTGTGAGTGTGTGCATGCCTGTGTCTGTGTGTGCCCTGTGATGGACTGTCATAGATATTGTGCCTTGTGCCCATTACTTGCCAGGATAGGCTCCAGTTCCTCTGCTACCCTGTAATGGATAAAGCGGTAAAAAATGAATGGATGAACTTAGTCAATATTCAGATTATGACTGTATAGTGATTCAGATTAGCAATCAGTCTGTGTCATTCAGTCTGTGTTGTGTGTGTGAATACCTTAAATACCAGGAAAAACTACTCATGAAAGTATTTCGAATACTATATCTGGGACTCTGATTAGTATTCAGTCTGTGTCACATCCTCTTAACAGGAGGTGAGCAAACATTGCAAAATACTTTGTTTTTATATACAGTACATGCTTGTTTTTGTATGAGCAAGACCAGTTTGTTAGATACTGCAGGTATGAACTCAAGCATAGAGGTGCACTTAACACTATTAAAGTTTCCGTTGACTCATCTTGCTTGAATTCTAAATACAAGGAAAGCAAATCAATAATCATATACATAAGCATGTATCAGCATGACTTCTACTAAAGCAATACCTGGGAGTATACAGATGTAAATATGCTTTGCTAATAGAATAACTTAAATCCCAGGACAAACTCCTCATGCAAGTATTTTATATACTTTATCTGACTAGACTCTAAATGCTTATATTCACCTATAAGTAATATCACACTATATAAGGCAATAAGAAAAAGTAGACTAAGGAGAGGAAAGGTGCAGTGTGCATTGAAAATAAATTCACAATGACTGGTTAGACAAGAAATGTCAAAAACTCAGGAGTATATTGCTATGGCCTTCTGATCTAAATATTTGAAGGACCACTTCAGAAAGTTTACTTATTTGTATTTGTACTTTTCAAATATTTTAAAGTAAAATAGTACTTCATCACAAATGCTTTGTTTTGTTTCAGTAGGAACAAAAACATGATATAAGACATAGGTCTGTGGTATATAGATAATGACTAATATCAAGTAATCAGTCCTAGAAACTATCCTGAGTAAAATTGACAAGGCTTGAGAAAATCCCTGAGCCTACAACTCCCAAATGACGATTCAGCTCTTACTCATATGTGAAATTGGGCATATGAAGACAGCATAACTACCAGGTATTTCAAAACAGACAGACACCCAAACAAAAACCAAAATAAGGGACATAAAACTTTCAACCTAATCTCTAGTCTAAAAAAAAAAAAAAAGAAACAATATGCCTGGTCATTGCATGAGGTTTAGTAGAATACAAACAAAAGCTGAGACTAATTATTATTCCCATTATCACATCTTAAACATTTAAAACATAAATTGATTTAACTAAACCTAATGATTTCAAATTAATCATTTATGCTGCTTTAAAATGAAGGAAAATAAAACACAGCATAGCAGTTAGAAACATTTACCTTTAAGGTATATAATGTATTAGTACAGTCTTCTGTAGTGATCAATATAGATAACAGTCAGCAATGTATTAGTATGAAGTTGCAACATGATCTACAATTGTAGATTGCAAGTCTCCAAAAACAAAGTGGTTTCTGTTTGGAACTATTCATTAGCTGTTACAAACCTGAGGTTACGTGGTTTTACTGTGTAATCATGTCACAACAGCCCTAGGATATCAACAGCTCCGATTTATTCACGTTCAGACATAAGCATGAATACTGTACATCAGTAGTAATCAGCATAGAAAAGGAGGTACAGTAAACATTTTTGTGACAGATTTCTAGGACTGTGTTGAATTTAAATGGTTTTAAATGTACTAAATAATTTCAAGAAAATGAGGTATCATAGTTTTTGTCAGTTTTTAGATTTGTTCACACATGCTATCACCATACTGATATCATTAATACAGTCTTTTACACTCACTACACGCCTCCAAGGTGTCACTTAGTCACTTTGTTGCTGGATAACAGCAGCTCATTTCTTGAAGAGTGCACCAGTCTGGCACTGGGTACAGTACAGTTACTGTATGTGATGACTAAAAATGTTTAGTTTGTCAGTAGGAGGCACTGGATGTTTGATAACAGACGTTTCACATTACACAATCTTACTGTGATAAATTAAAAAGCTGACGCAGAGTTAAGTGAGGGGGCTGAACCATAGTTGTCTTAGTTCTTAAACCCATTTTATATACAGTGTATATAATATGCTCAACTTCTTCATACAGTATATACTCAGTCTCTTTACCTGTATATACTTTGTAATAAATACCCACAGTTTCCGTCATTTATTCAAGTGTAATGTACATCTACTTAAACTTTATTATACCCCAAGATCTAAAACTATATTAACATGAGTGTGGGAAAGAAATTAATTACATTTAATGAAACTCTAAACATGTGTTTTGACCCCTTTCTGTACACATTTAATTATATTTCAAAACATACAATATGAATCTATGATTTGGGAATTACCCACCAGCATGATAAGAACCATTGGATGTTTCACCTTGTCTGTTGGTGATTATGACTTTACAACAGACTCATTTAATTTAAGGTACTGTGTTATTGCTATTGTATAAAGAAGAAAAAAAACATCCAAATTATTCCATCTTTTTTCTAACCTTTTTATCACATACCAGGATCAACTTTCTGCCATCTACCAGGATGTTTTTGGACTATGGGAAGAAACTGGAGTACCCAGGTGAAACACAGAGAGAACATACAAACTCCACACAGATAGCACCCCAGGAATTGAAGCCAGAGCGTCAGGTATCAATGCTAACCACCGAACCGCCAATGCACTCCTCATTATATTATGCTTCTTACATTTCATTGTTACTTCAATTGACTCCATTAATTTAAAAGTATTTTTCACCTTTTCATTGCAAATAAGGTTCACTCAAAACATGGATGATTAACACCACAGAAACAAGAAAGCCAGAATGGCCTTCACTCATTTGCATGAAACCTTTCTTACTTTCTCACAAGCCTACCAAAGATCTTCCACTTCATGTAGCAGTTCATCTTCCAAAAGAGAATGAAAAGGTCACTTACGGATTTTCTCCACCAATTTCAGCATCAGTCCACCAATATGAAGATCTCCCTTCACCCTCAGTTTATAATCCATTTTTGTTTCATCGTGATCAATCTGCACAGTGAGCTCCCAGGATGTGTTTCCATATTCTGCAGCAGTAATCATTCTCAGTGATGACCTGTGAAAATGAAATGAAAGAAATTTAATGAAATTCTAAACTTGTTTTTTGACCTCTCTATCTGTAAACATTAAAATATATTTCAAAACACACCAAATCAATATCACAGTTCCATAATGGTTCTCTCACCTGTTACCCCAATCTGTCATTACAGTTTAAAAAGACTAGGTCAATACATAAGTACTTAGAAACATAGAAGGAGTTCACCATGTCTTTAATTTCATGTTTCAGCTACTGATATTGCTGATTTTATTTCCAAGGCTATGTGAGGAAAATTAAAATCTCCAACAACCACTTCTTTTTTTACATTATATTCCTAATTTCATTATATGACATTTGAATTTAAATCTGAATGTAGAGGTCTGTGGCATACTCCTGACACTATGCCCTTTGGATGTTTTTTTTATCATTCTGACCTATATGGATTCTAAGATTCTTGATTCTGTGTTAACTTCCTGTTCCTGAAAGCTCTGTTTGTTTTATAATGTACAAAACTTCATCCTTAGTTAAATATTAACTTTCTGTTGTCCATGTTCCAATGATTCAAATTATGTCACCTGAACAGATGCCAATTTCACTGGAAAGGCTTCCAGTAGCCAAGAAGGTTGAACACTTCTATAACACACCATATCCTCATCTGTCTGTAGTGTTAACAGATTAACATGAACATTTCCTTTGCATAGCGTGGGAGGATTCCTGAGAAAACCACTGATTTAGTCTTACTCTTTAAGTTGAATTTGAACTGATAGTGCTGTCTACGGCAACGCTGTTTGTGCTGAAATGAACAACAACATCTGTGCTTGCTATGAGACTGTTTACTCCTTGGACAATATTAGCATTAAAATTATTCAATGCTATATGCAGGTCTTGAAATATATAATTATACAATGCACTTGGAATAAATGAGGTCTTAATAGTCATTGTACAATTTAATTTAACCCATAAATATATATATATATCCTGACACTCTGTTTGCCTTTTAATTGCTTCCCTTTCTTAAGTTTAGTTTTAATTTTTTTATGTATGGTACTGTATAGATTTAGGTCATCTGGTAGAGCAGTTGTCGTAATACAGATCCCAGTGGTATTCTAATATTATATTTCTTGAATTTCCGCATAATAATGCAATAATGCATTTAATTAAATCTGTAATTTCAGAATAAATCTTACGAGGATCTGAATATACCACATCATATGCTCTGTTTGTATCCATTACTGTGATTGTTTGTGTTAATCCACCTATTATAGTATGAACTCTAAACTTGACTAGCTCGTTTATCATTCCAGAATCTTAATCACAGACACACATTAAGAAATGCAAAGGTCCTATTACTAAAGAGCCCCTTGACACTCCAATAAAATCAAAACCCTTCTCCCACTGCTGTATCATCATCATCATCATCATCATCATCATAATACCACAGTAAATATACCACAGTTAAAAGGCTGTCTGGTTAAGACTCTGTCTGCCCTTTAATACCTGGCATGATTTGCCTGAATAGTAAAACTGAATTACTTTACATACTGTATAACAACCCCAAACATCAAATATAGGATGCAGTAATTGGGTGCTATGATGTAAATATGAAGTGATTTGAAATTGCTAATACTTTATTTTATGTTACAATAAACAAAGCTAACTAATAATACTATAATAATAAATATAGGAATAAGAAGAATAAAAACAAATAAATTGAGAAGAGTATTTGAAATTCAAAAAATATATTCCCATTTACTGTGAACTATCATTAATATCATAATATCCCCTTTACATAGTCTAAAAAAGGCATTTTTAAATTGTTAATTAGTGATTATTTTTTTATTAGTGAGCACACCCATTATTTGATAAGGATGAATATGTCCATCTGTACTAAAGTTGAAACACTGCTAAAGAAAAAGTAACAAGCAATGTGATTTCCTTTATGGAGGGGGCTCATTTGTCTTTTAAAATATGTACTGTATATTCATTTTCTGCACCAAAGGTACATTTAGACAATTTGTAAAATATTGGTGTCACAGTTCATGTACAGTACATTTACTATGCAGCAGTAATTTTAGAAATGAACCTTTTTTTGATCATTAATATTTAATTAAAAATAGAGAAAAATAAATCATTTACTGTATGTTCTGTAAATGTTCTTTCCTCTAATCATTAAAAACATGAATCCCTTACATTATTTATAAAATACTACAAAACTGTATGTAAAATCTAAATCTTTCCATTCCTCTACAATGTGACAAATACTTTTTCCTTGTAATTTGAATCAATTGGTAGATAAAAAATAGAATAATCTAAAGTATGTACAGAACAACTTGAAGAAATAGCAAGCTTCATTTTTTAAAGAAACAAGAACATGTAGATCTAGCAGAGGAATTGCAAACATGTGGCAACATGAATAACTTGAGGCAAGCATTTCACAATGGAATGACCTACGTTTATTCTTTCTTACCATTTCCACAGTCTTCAAAGAGCAGCTAAACCATAATATACATATTGTTTTAAAAACCACATAATACAGATTCTTTGAATATGATTTCTTTACATGCTACACAGATGCTTTTAGCAGCCATTTACATTTACTATAATGTTAGATAGGTGTTTCAATTACATGACCCCCAATGTCCTCAAAGAGTACACAGAGCTGTATCAAAAATGGTGAGAAGTATTGTTCCATCTACAACTATAGAAGAATGGATTTTATGCTAATGTGGCCGATTTGAACAGTTCATATACAGAAACTTAAATGTTTACAAGATGAGTTTAAATTCCAGTGAAACTTTCTTCACACTTCTTAATATGGGCCTTTGACGCATTTCTAATTCTTTCTAGGCCATGCAACTGTTTTATTAACATTAATACCTCTGGAAATCTGAAAATGGGAAAATTAAGGAGAAATCTGGGTAAAATGATATACAAAAACCATCAATATAAGCGTGTACTGTAATGTTTGAATTTTATTCTGAAGCTAAATAAAATCTACAAATAATAATTTGTTTAGAATAATTTGATTTTATTAATAATGCATATTATAGATGTTGCATGAAACTCCAGCAACTGTAAATTAACCACCTTAACCTAAAGATATATTTTTTAAGAAATAATAAATGATAACCACTTAAAAAATGAATGTTCCACAGATTGTACAAAGATTGCAAATAGGCCTAATCAAGTCTGAACTTTGACCTTGTCTATACTGTGAATTTACAGCAAATCACATCAGTTGTTTCAAATCAATCTAAATGTTAAGTCGTTTTTGTCTCCACTCTACAAAATGCTAAAAGCCGTACCTGAGAACTGTAAATATTAGACTTGGTCAGGTTATAGTTGAAACTGTTTAGGCTGCAGATGCTGTGGTATCCAACTGGCCTTTCCATTTTCTGCATTTTCTTTATTGCAATTTTTGAAAGTTTGATACCCACAGTTTTATTCACTTCAGTAGTTGTTTGCACTTTGTTTCTCTGACAACGTTTTCCACACATATATAGTATTTGAATTCTAAGAGAAATACAGAAAGAAGGTATTGGATTAAATTTAAGTTAATTATATTATGTAACTATAACTGTTCACATTTTAACAATATCTTAAAATTTAAAAGAATGCTAATAGTAATAATGTATCGGTTTTAAAGCTGCTGAAGTTATTGTGAACACCACATTTAAAAAAGTACATTATAAACTTAAGCTCAGTGACAAAACAGATTTTGATGAGGAATGTCAAATGAATAGAAGATTTTTAAAAATAATCAGTACAGTTTGCTACCTGCACTTAGAGAGTCAAGACACCATCTCACTGAGAATCCAAACAAATGGCAAAAAGAGTATTTTATTACACACAGACAATAAGCTTCCAGTAGGCAAAGACTCTAGGGTAGTCACTGTAGTCACCTTTGAAACGTATTCACCAAAAGTGTACTGTACTTGTTATAGTCTTATGGCTAGCTAAGAGGTTTGAATTTCCTGATGCTGCATACAGTATGTACTCACTACACTGCAGCCACATGACTGAACATACTGTCATTATGTCATGGTGAAAAATCACAGGTCTTAAGGTGTGTGTCTTGTTTTCCAAAACTTGGCAGTGTGATTCATGGGTTAACATTAACTGAGCAACTAACACTCGGTATGAGGTATTATGGAGTCCTACACAAAATCTTCGCTTAAATCAACCTTACACTACAACAAGTGTAATTAGAGACGAACCAGCTGCAAACATACCAATATACTTGTATAATGAATAATATTTTCTCTACATTAGCAAATATTGCATAAAAGTAACCAAATTCAAAAGCAAGAACAGAAACTCTTGCTGTAACATACCTTTATGACAACAGTGGACTGACTAATATGGCGTATAATATTATAGTGGGCAGAGTTTGTAGACATGTTTTGGTGCTTTTCTTTCTATTGTTTAAGGCACAAAATAAAAAGTTAAAACGCCTGAAAACAGTAGATTACTGCATGATGCAATAAAAAAGCAATACCTAAAGAAAAAAATTGAATATATTTAGGTCACATTTTTAAAATGTGTTTGTATAAAGTTCTTTAAAGGTTAAAAAAAGTTTGCATCTACCCTGTTAGTCAGGGCGGAGCCCTTTTTACCACTGCAGGGCTTCTATAGAGAGTAGGATTGTTTAAAAAAATCTAGGCCTGGAGGGAAAACAAAAGTCATAGGTACACACCCTATTCAGAGAACAAACCCAGCCTATAGGCACCTTAAAAAGACAAAAGAAAATCTTTTTCTGACTCTACCTATTTGACTATAAACTAAAACTATAAAAACTATAAAAGCTGTTTTCTGTATAGTGTATGGGAGGTAAGCGATCATAACCAGTCTTTTATACTTTACATCTATACTGTTTTTAAACTTATTTTAATGCTCTTCATATAATAAACTTTAACATTTTTTCACATAATGTAAATGGGAAATGATTGGTTTTCTTAAATGGTTTACACAGTTGTATCTATATATTATTTATATCTACAGTCCAGATCGATCGTTTCTAACTTCGTAGGAGAAGAAAACATATCGCTGTTTTATTTTATTACTTGCTGTTCAAGTTGGTACTTGAGAAGCACGGCATCATATTAATAGAGGAAGAAACCGCAAAAGATTACGAATCCCCGTGCATCGCGATGAAACAGACGTTGACCGTGATTACAAAAAACATATCACGTTAACATGAACAAAAATAGCCCCACCATTTGGAACCCCCATACTAAAATTATTCTTTGTAACCTCAGATCGTGTTCAAAGCTTTTTTACGTCAGGGGAGAAACTAACACAGTACCTACCTGTTCTGCAAGTTGATAATAATAATAATAATAATTGCTTACACTTATATAGCGCTTTTCTGGACAAACTTTGTTTTGATGACAAACTTTAAAAGCACACGAGGCATCATACAGTTAATGTTCAATACCTTAATGGAAATTATAAATACCTTTTAATGAGATATTATTATTATTACGAAGGGCTGTATCAGTAGGATAATTTATAATTAATAAAGGAAGATCGATCTGTGTACCTCTGTAGGACAAAGCCCAATGTATTTTTGCATTGTTTTAACACTGCAGTACGTTCAGGTGTTTTCCGATGTGCATAGTATTAAAAATCATAAAGAAAACGTAGTAATACCTATGGAAAAACAAAGTTGTATCTTTGGATTGGAACCAGCGACTAAAAAAGAATAGAACGGGATTAACCTTAAAGGCAAACTAAATAATACACTACAAAACTCACCTGAGTATCGAGCGTCCCCCTCCCAGCAGAGCGATCTTTGAGTTCTAGTTAAGAAGTGAAAAGTTCTCAGACACTATTGAGTAAGCACCCGCCCAGCTTGTATGACTGTAGGCAGGTAACTCACACAGCCTTCAAAGATTTTTTTTAAAACCACATTGATAATATAGTTAGGTGCTGTTCTTGTAACCACGTCAGATATTGTTTTTTATTAGAGAATAAACGTAATTAAGACTGTGAAAAAACCTCTCAGCCTAAAAGATCACAGAGAGTCAGTATGCAGTTTTCAATTCTGTCACTTTTATTTTAATTCACAGTACTATTTTGTGTATTCTTACTTCTTTTGTTTTATTTTATTGTAACACAACAGGGGTTCAGGTGGGCACCCTTGCTGCATTAGGTCAGCCCCCCACTGTCAGGGGCTCAAACCTGGGACTCCCACATCACTCAACAGGGACCCAGCCCAGTGAGCCAAAGAGAGATCTCTCTACTGAACTTGAACTTGAACTTTATTGCCATATGTAACCGGTACTGGTACAATGGAATTCTTACTTTCAGAAGTCTCTCGATTGTGAAACAAGTGTAAAAAACAAAACAAACTGCAAACAGTGCATCAAGACAATGTACAAACCAACAATAGACAATGTGCAAGTAAACATGTAGACAGTTTGAATGTAAACAATACAGACGTGTAAACAATGACTGGAGATGTGCAATAGATAAGAAATCTTAAAGAGGTAGATGGTGATGTTGTAGGTGTGGTCCGAGGGGGATGGCTAAATGTGTTCGCCAGTCTCACTGCTTGTGGATAGAAGCTATTGAAGAATCTAGTGGTAAGTGTCCGTATGCTCTTATATCTCTTGCCTGAGGGCAGTGGGGTGAAGAGCTCATGC